GGTACTTTCCTTCTATCCCCATTTTATTGAGAGTTTTTATGATAAATGGATGTTGGATCTTGTCCAATGCTTTCTCTGTGTCTATTGAGATGGTCATGTGGTTTTTGTTCCTCATTTTGTTCATGTCATCTATCACATTGGTTGACTTGCAGGTTTTGAACCATTTGGGTCTCTCTGGTGTAAATCCCATTTGATGATGGTGTATGATCTTTTTAATGTATCTCTGTATTCGGTTTGTCAGTATTTTGTTGAGGATTTTTGCATCTATGTTTATCACTGATACTGGCCTGTAGTTTCCCTTCTTTGTGTTGTCCTTGTCTGGTTTTGGGATCAGGGTCATGTTGACCTCTTAGAGTATGTTAGGAAATGCTCCATCTTCCTCACTTTTCTGGAATAGTTTGAGAAGGATAGGTATTAAATCTTCTTTGAATGTTTGGTAGAATTCTCCAGAGAAGCTGTCTGGTCCTGGACTTTAATTTTTGGGGAGGTTTATGATTGCTGTTTTAATCTCTTTACTTGTGAGTTGTCTATTCAGATTCTCTATTTCTTCTTGATTCAATTTTTGGAGGTTGTAAGAGTCTAAGAATTTATCTATTTCTTCTAGGTTGTCCAATTTGTTGGTATATAGTTTTTCATAGTATTCTCTTATAATCTTTTGTATTTCTTTGGTAGCCATTGTAATTTCTCTTCTTTCATTTCTGATTTTATTTATTTGAGTCTTCTCTCTTTTTTTATTAGTTAATCTAGCTAAGGGATTGTCAATTTTGTTTATTTTCTTGAGGAACCAGCTCTTTGTTTCATTGATCCTTTCTACTGTCTTTTTTGTTTTGATTTCATTTATTTCTGCTCTAATTTTTATTATTTCCCTTCTTCTGCTGACTTTGGGCTTTGTTTGTTCTTCTTTTTCTAATTCAATTAGGCGTAGTTTGAGATTGCTTATTTGAGATTTTTCTTGTTTATTGAAGTGAGCCTGTATTGCAGTGAATTTCCCTCTTAGGACTGCTTTTGCTGCATCCCAAATGAGTTGTTATGGTGTGTTTTCATTTTCATTTGTCTCCAGATAATATTTGATTTCTACTTTGATTTCTTCAATGATCCATTGGTCGTTGAGTAGCATGTTGTTTAATCTCCACATCTTTGCCCTTTCCCCAGCTTTATTCTTGTAATTGATTTCTACTTTCATAGTATTATGGTCAGAAAAGATGCTTGATATTATTTCAATCCTCTTAAATTTATTGAGGCTTGCTTTGTTTCCCAATATATGGTCTATCCTTGAGAATGTTCCATGCACCCTTTAGAAGAATGCATAACCTGCTATTTTTGGCTGGAGTGTTCTCTATATATCTATTAAGTCCATCTGGTTTAGTTTTCATTTAAATCTACAATTTCCTTGTTGACTTTCTGTCTGGATGATCTATCCATTGGTGTTAATGGGGTATTGAGGTCCCCTACTATTATTGTAGTGTGGTTGATATGCTGTCATATGTTTTAATTCTACATGTTATAAAGCCCACAATAGATTATCATTTTTAACTAAATAGTTAATTCTCTCTCTCTCTCTGTCTCTTTCTCTCTCCTTCTCCCTCTCGCCCTCTCTTCTCTCTCCCCTGTCTCTCCCTCTCTCCCTCCCCACTCCTCTTTTGAAACAAGAAAGAAGTTTAACTCTCCACCATGTCCTAAAAGTGCAGGTAGGTGCTCAGGGGTCCAGGCCCTTTCTGTCTTGTTGGTACTGCCATCCTTAGGGTTTTGGTGCCATGCTCATGTTGTACAATGATTTATCACTTTGTCTCCAGTCTGTCCAGCTAGTTCAGGAAAAGAGGGAAAGAAGAAAGGGTGGCATGATACAGAGGTTACACACAATTCTTCTGCTTCCACTTCTCTGACCAGAACTTCCTCCTGTACCCATGTTCTTGGGGGAGGAAGGGCTGGGAGATGTTGTCCTTCTTTTGGATTGCTAGATGCCCAGCTAAAACTTAGGGGTTCTGTTATCTTAGACTAGGAGTCTTTCTTTTCTAAACTTCCCCTTCCATTTCTGTTCTCACTATTGTCTAGAATTGTAGTTTTAACTTGTTATTGTTCATATATATTTTACATTCAGTTTTTAAGTTCTTTGGAGCTGAACTGCTTGGGTTTGAGTTCCACATTTGCTGTTTATTAGCTGAATAAACATAGGTAAGTCATTTGACCTCTCTGTGCCTCATTTTCCTTATTTGAAAAAGGAGGAAATAATCCTACCATATAGGAACCATATAAGATTGAATAAAGTAATTCCATAATACCTATCACATAGAATTCAATTAATTAATTCATATAAAGCATTTAGAATAGTTCTGATGCATAATAAGCACTGAGTAAATGTTGGTTATCAATATCATTAGGATTATTATTGCACTACTGGTTTATTTTTTTCTTCCTCAAGTGCATAGTTTAGTAGTTCTTTCAGTAGGGGCTGTGGGTACTATATGTTAAAATATGGTAATAGTTAAACTAGATACGGTGTTCTAGGTTCTTAGTTATTTTCCTTCAACATTGAAGATATTATTTCATTTTGTTCTAATCTGTCAATCTGTTGGTTATCCTTTTGTAAGTAATTGGTATGTTCTGTCAATTGACTTTTTAGATTTTCTCTTTCTCCTTGCTATTCTGCCGTTTCTTTACAACGTGTCTAAGAGTGGATGGTGCAAAATTTATTCTGTTAACACTTGGAATTTTTCGCTTAGAGAATTCATGTCTAACTTGAGCTTCTGAAAGTATAGGCACACCTTGGAGATGTTGTGAGTTTGGTTCCAGAACACTGCAATAAAGTAAATATCACAATAGAGAAAGTTACATGAATTTTTTGGTTTCCCAGTGCATATAAAAATTATATTTACACTGCGGTGGTAAATTAGTAGTAGTAGTCTATTAAAGTGTGCAGTAGCATTATGTCTAAAAACAATGTACGTACCTTAATTAAAGAGTACTTTTTTGCCAAAGATGCTAACCATCACCTGAGCCTTCATAATCTTCTTGCTGGTGGAGGGTCCTGTAAAAAATGCAGCATCTGAGATGCGTAATAAAATGAAGTATGCCTGTGTTAGCTGTTAATGTTTTCAAAGATCTTTTTCTCCCTCCTCCTGATCTTTAGACATAGATTAGTGTTTCTCTATCATCCATTTTTCTTAGCTTCTTTTTTGTATTTTTTTTATTACTCTGAACTGATTTCTGAGAGATTGTCTTAATTTAATTATTTAAATTATCATCTTTTTTTTTGCTTCCTGCCTGGTGTTTACTCCATCTTTTGAGTTTTCAATTTGATGACCATTTCTTGTTGTGTAGAGTTCTGGTTGGTTCTTTTTTTATGTCTGCCTGTCTTTTCCGATCTGCCTCTTTTGTTTCATGAATGCTATTCCATTTTTCACTTCTTGGCTGTCTTGAGCAGCTTTATTTCAGAGTCCTTTTCAGACTGCTGTCTTATGTCCATTTCTGCAGGTGTCAGCCTCCACCCCTCACAAAACTTTGTGAGGTTTTTTTTAAAGTTTATGATGTCATTGAACTACTTTGTGGACTTGGTGATTTTGTTTGAAAGCTCATATTGTGTGAACATTTTCTTTCAGCGGATTTCATCTGCGCTCCAGCCTCCAGATCCGTTTGTGTCTTTGGCTGTCACACCCTGAAGAGATAATGTAATTCCAGACCCCAAGATCACATGACATGGGCTCCAAATTACTCTAAAGAAGGATTAGGCCAGTTTATGATATCATCTTGCATTTCCAGTGTTACGCTTTATTTCAGTGATTTATGTTATTTAATAGGTGAAAGGTGTACCTCATCATTTCAATTTGTGTTTCTCTTATTGATACTTAGACTGAGCACTTTTCCAGAATTGCCTCTAGTTCCCTGATAAATGATTTCTGGGTTGAATTTCTTTTCTTTTCTTTTCTTTGAAGTCACACTTGTTTTTACCCAAGTGTAACTACCCAGCTTGATTATCCATATTATTCACTAAATGACTGCTGTCACTTTCCAAAAGTTGTATTTAGGCCCAGAGGAGAAGGGTGTTTGCAACAGTCTGCTTTAGATTTTTCCACCCTCTGGTTATTCAGATTCAGCCTGTTTTTCTAACACCGTCTGTATCTACTGTGCTGTTAAGAAGTGAGATGCACAACTGTGATCCTGAGCCATTTCTGAAACTGAGTTATAGTTGGTATTCTGGTTATTAGCACTGTGTAACAAACATTTTATAGTTTTTAGTGGTGTAAATCAACCGTTTTATAATGCTCCTGGATTCTGTGGTCAGGAATTCAGGGTGGGCACAGCAGGAAGGGTTTGTCTCTGTTCCACAGCACCTGGGGCCTCAGCTGGACTTGAAGGCTGATGGGGACTAAACAGATGGAGTCATTGGAAGACTCATTCAGTCACATGTCTGGCAGTTGATGCTGGCTTTTGGCTGGGACGTCAGCTGGGGCTGTCATCTGAAATACTGATAGTGGCCTTTCCGTGTAGTAGCTTGGGCTTCCTCACAATATGGTGGCTGGGTTTCAGAAGTGAGAGTCCAAGAGAGAAAGTCATAAATACATGGCATTTTTGCAGTCTAGCTTTAGGAGCCCCACGACCCCACTTCCATGTTGTAAACAAGCCCACCACGCTCATGGGAAAGGTGTAGAGAGCTCCTCACTTGAGGAACAGTGTCAGTCGCCTCGTAACAAAAGCATGTGTGTTGGGAGACATGTTGTGGCCCTCTTTGGAAAATATAGTCTGCCAAGCTGGGAAAATAAATTATGTTTAATTCTTAGTAAGCCAGTAAAGGAATTTTTAAAACATTTTTTTAAATATATTATAAGAGTTTAAACAAAATTTTTAAATTTAATCCTCTCAAGTAAGGTTTAATACAAAACTCTATTCTGTAATAATTTTGTGTATTAAGATTTTATGATAGTACTTTATAATCCTTTTTGTCCTATTTTCTATTTATTAATATTTTCTAAGATAGCTTTTATATCACTATTTTTATTTTGCAGATAAAACAATAAAATGTAATATGGATTCATTGAGAGATTCACCTAAAAAGAAATCTGAAAAGAAACAACAGTGCATCTCTTTAAAAGATGTAAATAAGGTTGTATTTTTAAATGTTTATTAGATATAAAGTTCATATAATGTTGATTTTAAAATATTCTCCTTTAAAATCTACTGGTAACCAAAAATATGTTTTCTGTTAAAAATCCTTGGCTATGTGGGGCTGGCCTGGTGACGTAGTGGTTAAGTTTGCACGGTCTGCCTCAGCGGCCTGGGGTGTGTGGGTTCGCGTCCTGGGCACAGACCTATACACTGCTCATCAAGCTGTGCTGTGGCAGCATCCCATCCCACATACCAAACAGAGGAAGACTGGCAGTGGATGTTAGCTCAGGGCCAGTCTTCCTCAGCAAAAAGAGGAGGATTAGCAGCAGATGTTAGCTCAGGGCCAGTCTTCCTCACACGCAGAAAAAATCCCTGGCTGTGATAGTTTCATTCATGAAAAAATAGAGTTCGCATGTTTGCTGTGTTTCAAAAGAACAAGGTAACTCCTGCTCCTCTCTTGACAAGCCCTCGTTCTTGGCCTAGTGGCTCTTCTACAAAATTGGGTATTCTCACTTTAACAAGGGTGTGACCATCTGAGATTATAGGACACTCTAACAGTTAAGTTCAAGTCTAACCTGGCCCTCAGTCCCTTTGACCAGACAGAGGGAAGTAATTACAGGACAACGTAAGCACTGACTGTCTGAAATGCCAGCTGCCCGCAGCTGGGACGCTTCAAACTAGTGGATTTGGCAGTGGCGTGATGAACTTTCCACTGCTTTGTCTCTCCGTATCTGTGTTGTCTGAAAATTATCCGAGGTGATTGTTGTGAGAAGAATTCCCATGGAGTTTTGGTTCCTCAAGAATATATATCTTGCTGGCCTACAGACTCTTTCTGAAAAATATTTTTTTGCAGTGTGTTGAATCTTCAGTGTACTGGCCAACAAAAAGAGGCATCACCATATACGCTGACCCAGATATACCAGCAGCAAGGTACGATTTGAACGTTCAGTGGAATTGACTAGAGACTTAAGTATAAGTATTGTTCCATAAGACTGATGATAGGAAAGTATTTAATTAAAAAAAAAGAAGAATGGCCCTGGAAATTCTGATTAAATATATATTAATTTAAAAGAAAAACGTTGTGACAAATGGTTAGCAGGCACAATTGACCAAAAACATCATGGCTCTAGTTTCCTTGTTGCCTTATCAGGCAAGGTTGTTTCAGTAAGGCAGGTCCAACAAAGTTGTCTTGATGTAAAGGGTGGGTAAATGTAGGCCAGGTGGCAGTACAAGCTGGTGGAAGGCCAGGGATGGTTTGCTGAAGATGAGTTCCAAAGGCTTTGACTGGTAGTCTGTCCTCATCAAGATGCACATGAGTGATGTTAATGAGAGCGCAGAAAGGCCGTAATATTAGACCACTTCACATGTTGTGTAAGATCTTAAAGTGGGGTCCTTCCATTTCTCCCGCCTCCTGGACTCTATGCTAGTGTCGGCATACATTTGATTGACACATTTGTTATAAATGCTAGAATCTATTATCATTTGTATTTAAACAGCCAGTTATCTTTTAGAGAGATTTAAACAAACAGTAGGAAAAATATCCCATATCTTTACCTTTGTAGTTACCATCAGTGCTCTCTGCTTTTTGCGTTGATCCAGGTTGCCTTCTGGGCTCTCTCCTTCTACTTCACAATCTTCGTTCACTCTTGTATTGTGGGTCTGCTGGTGATGAATTGGTTCAGCTTTTGTATATCGGAAAAATTATTTCCACTTCATTTTTGAGAAACTATTTTTTGTAGGTATAGAGTTCTAGGTTGACAATTCTTTTCTCCCTGTATTTTAAAGATACTGCTCCACTCTCTGCTTGCTTGCGTTGTTCCCAATGCAGAACCCACTGTCGTCTTTTTCTTTGTTCCTCTATTTGCAACATATCTTCTTCCTCTCGCTGCTTTTAAGATTTTCTCTTTATTACTGGTTTGAGCAATTTAATTATTATATGCCTTAGTGTAGTTTCTCTCGTGTTTCTTCTACTTGGGCTTCATTAAGTTTCTTCATTTGTAGGTTTCTGTCTTTCATCAAATTTGGGAAGTACTCAGCTGTTATTTTTTGCACTCATCTCTTTTCTCCTCCCCTTTTGAGACTGATGAGACGAATGTCAGACTTTCTGATGTTGTCCAAAAGGTCCGAGGCTTTGTTCATCTTTTCAACCTTTTTTTTCTTGCTCTTTTTCAGATTAGTCATTCTCCTGGTCTGTTTTTAACTTAACTCACTCTTCTGTCATCTTCATTGCTATTGAGGTCATCCAGTGAATTTTTTATTTGATGTATTATATTTTTCAGTTCTAAAGTTTTTATTTGATTTTTTTGTAGTTTATATTTCTTTGGTGAGAACTTTTATCGTTCCATCCAAGCGTGCTCACCTTTCCTTTTCCCGTGGAGCATAGTCATAATGCTGCTTACAAGCGTTTGATGATTCCCACGTCCGAGCCATCTTGGGGTTGGCACCTGCTGATCATTGTTTCCCTAGACAGTTGATCTGATTCTCCTGGTTCTTTGTGTGTTGGGTAATTTTGGGTTGTATTCTGGGTATTTCGAATATTATGGTGAGAGACAGGTTTCTGTTAAAATCCTCTGGAGAAAGTTGATTTTGTTGTTTGTTTCAGCAGGAGGTCAACAGCTCCCCGAGGTTCAGACCTCACATTCTGTCTCACTTTCTGCGGATGCGGACTGCAGCGTGAGCTCTGTTCCCGGTCTTTCCGGGCGTGCTGCTGCGCTGGGTGTGTTTTGAATACGCTCATCTTGGGCCGAGCCTGGACTTGTGTTGGATCATAAACAGAGATAAGGGCCCCCCTTCTCCTCTGGCTCTTGCTCTCTTTTTTTCCAGGACTTTCCTCACCTTCACCGCCCTCTGATGCTCCCTCTGCTTGTTGCTCTGGCCAGGTAGATGGTTTCTCTTGGAGAAACTGCCATGCGGTTCTGTGTGATTGGGGCTGTTCGTGGAGCAAAACAGCAATAGAAATGAGAGAAGAAAAGATGGAGATTTTCCCCACGCAGGCTTTGGCCCGTGGGGTCCTCGTTTCCCAGCTCCCCTGGGGGAGAGAGAGGTCTTCTCTCGGGTTTCAGGGGACTGCACTGCTGTTGCCAGTGCAGCTTGTGGCTCCGTGGGTAGAGCTGGCCTTGGGGGTGGGGGGGGGGGGGCGCCAGGAGAGAAGACAAGAAAAAGTCAGCTGGGATCCCCCACACTCTGGTTTGGGGCTCCTCCTCCCTGTTCTCTGGCTTGAAATAGAGGGTTTCTCTCAGAGTTTTTGATGTCTACGCTCCCTACACAGTTCCAAGTGTCTGGCCAGCGTCGCTCAGGTCAACACTGAGAGATGGAGGAAGATGAAAGCCCAGAAGCTCTCCATGATTCTGGTGTTTTTGGTGTTTTGACTTCTCTCCGTGGTGGTTTTGTGCCTTATCCAGAGTTTCTGGTTGCGGCCAGCAGGAGAGAGGCTGCGGTGGGCTCACTTGCTTGGTGAGCGCCGGAGCTGTCACAGTGGTCTGCATGCTTACAGGGCTCGGCTTCAGTTCTCACGTGAACTTACTTACATAGATCAGCTTATTCCTCAGGGGCACTTCTTAAATTTTCTCACAGAAAATAAAGATGTTTTCAGGATTGGGGTAAATGGGTTCCAAAATTTTAATAAATGTTTTTGATTTCTAGAGCTGTATGTCAGAAGGCAAATGAGAAATCACTTAGATTGGCTGAGAAGAAAGAATACAATGAGAAGAATGGCTGTGTGAAGTACGAATTTTTTCTTGGCCTTGATTTTTTTATTGAAATAATTGTAATAAAAGTATAAGCAAGAAGAATTTACATATGATTTTATTATTAAATTTCAAACCTGCATTCCCATGAAAAAATATACATAAAGTGTCTTCTGTGGGCTCTGAAGTGAGTTTTTTCTTTTCTGTTGACTAGGGTGGATTTCTCTGTTTAAATTTCGTTCTACTGTAAATAGTCATTTCCTCCCTCCCCTTCCTGATTCTCTTGGTGAAGTGACCAGCTTTATGAAACAAATGAGATGGAGTTGCTCTTTGGGGCTGTTGATTTTGTGTGGGTTGGTGTTTGCTTTCTTCCCAGTTTTTTGATGTTATAGGTCTGTCACCTGCTGGAGAAACTAATTATTTGTAGTGTGGAATGTGGGGATTTTTTTGTTCTGCCAGATTCACGATGTATTCACTTACAAGTTGCTAACAATAGAGTAGTAACTTCATTCTATACTTGTTTAATCCACAAAATATTTTTATACCAATTTTTATGATTTCTTACCATAGCAGCCTAAAAGCACTCTTACATTCCAAGTAACTCTGGCTGCTCTGAAGCCATCAGAGTGACGTGGAGTTGAAGGCGGTTCAGAAGTGGGTGGATCGTGCTGCATCCACTCATTGGCCTGCGGTGACCGGGGAGAGGTGTTGACATGCAGCCATTCAGGCTGCCCCACTTCCCAGAGGCCACTCTGTGCTCCTGTAATGTCCTCTCACGTGGCAGGAGCTCCTCACGGGGTTCCAGGGCTGGGGACTCTGAAGGCTGCCACGGAGCCCGCAGATCTGGGGGTGGCTGTTACTGCCCCTGAGTTCATATCCTCCTCCCGGGGCATCCCTCCACCTTTTACCTGAACGTTGTGCTACAAGTGCTTATTTTCCTCGGAACCAAAGACCTGGCCTTATCCATGCAGCTCATTTCTTTCTTTAATCCATCAAATCACGTCTTGATAAATTAACCCAGAAATATTCTCTTGCCTTTTAGTTTTATATTGGAAGTTCGTATCTTATCTCCTGTTCAGCTAAATGCCCTTTACTCAGACCCCACTGATTACACGATGTCAGTTACTCTGTCAGTCCACTGTGGTTCCGGGATTAAACAGCAAAGAAGGAAGGAGGCAGTGGGTTTCTTAGAACCATGAGATGACCTGGTGATCACGCAGTCTTCTCCTTGGTCAGAGCAGGTGGTCCAGGGGGAGGCGGGCCGCAGGGGCCTGGCTCGACCACCATGGCCTTGTATCACAATGACCAAGGCAGGACAGAACCAGCCGTCATCTGAGAGCTGTGCCCTGGGAAGTGTAGTTCATTGTACCTGTCAAGGCGAAATTAAAGTAATAGCTCAATTGAAGAGAGATCAACGTTCTTTTTCCTTCAAATTGTCCTTTTAACTATTTTACAGATTATTGCAGTTTTTAAATCCTGATCCTTTGAGAGCTGATGGAATCTCTGATCTGCAGCAGGTATTACAACCCTAAAAAAAAGAAAGAAAACTGTTCACTCTTTAAATCCCTCTTCTTTCTCCCCCTGAACTTGAGATCAGAAGAGAAAGCCCTTAGATGGGGGGCTTCCCGGAGGACACCCTTTAGAAAGTACCTAGTGAATTATAGCTTTAGAGAAATTGCTCTTTTTTGATTTGGGCAGTAGATGACCTTCCTTTCATTTTGGTCGTTTTGGTAGTTTTTGATAAGCATATATACCTAGGTTTTTACCTTAAAGTCAGACTCTTGTGTTTCTTCGTTTCCATGAAGTTCTTGGTGTTCGGTGCTGAGCCCCAGCGCAGAGCCGTCTAAGCGTGTGTTCTCTTAGGTGCAGAGGTCCCCGTGGGGCGCGCGGCCACCGCTGGCCGTGCTCCGGAACAGCATCGAGCCGTGCCTGTCCCTCGGCTCGTCGCCGCTCTCCGCAGACCTGAAAAGGGTAACCAAGCTCCTAAAACCAACCTCGTGGGGGAACCCTGGCCTGTCCTAATGTGGACGGACGGTTAATAAACGGTTCTAAGGTTGCATTTGTGTAATTTCTTTGCTTTTGAAATTCTCCTTTAAGCTTTTGCTATTCATTTCTCATTTATTCTTAAGTCCAGGTTAACTTCTTATAAGTGAATAATTCTCTTCTGGAGAAACCGTTGTATAACTCCAGGCGCTTTTCTGAAATGCGTCTTCAGATGTGCCTCTGGAATGGATTAGGAAGGAGGAACAAGTTGCCAAAGCAGTTAGAATATACTTCTTAGCATTCTTTTCAAACTCACTTTATAGACCTGTGGTGAATTTCACCTCGTAAATTGACCATACATGTTTACCAACTTCTTTCTTGAGACCAAAAAAAAGTTTAAAAGATACATATTTTTTTTTTAAAGAAAAAAAAGATAGAAGGAGAGCAAAGCCTTTAGTGGTGAGGAGGGTTCCTCAGGCTTTCAGACGGTGGGAGCAGGCAGCAGAGCCCGGCTGGCTGAGGGAGGAGGGAGTGGAGTGGGCGGGGGTGGTGAGCTGCCCCACCCTGTCTCCTGGACGTCCAGCCGTTTCTCAGGAAGGAGGTTGGAGGTGCTTTTTGGAACCTGAGTGGCCCTAGCGAACGACCTTTAGATGCTGCTCCTTGGGACTCTCCCTGTCAAAATGCCTGCCTGCTGCCCTGTCTTCCTCAGTGATGTGACTCTCACACGGTGACGAGCTTTGCCCCGCCCACAGATCTTCTAGTCTGCTTGTAGTGTCCCCCTGTGTTCACAGACATCAGGGATGAGGAGACGTTTGAAGAAAGCCCTCACCTAAAAAAAGAAGAAAAAATTGCTGCAGGAAACAATGTAGGGAGTAGAAGGAAAACGTTAGAAAATAAGTATCCTCAGAGATAAGAGAAGATGTATGTGTTTAACAGTAATAGGGTACTGCAAAAAAGGAAACTTTGAAGAATAAAAAGGGTTCTTGGAAATTCAGAATGTTATAGAAATAAAAATCAATAGTAGATTTGAGAGAGAAAAATGGAAACTAACAGAAAGTAGAACAAAAAGACAAAGAGATGGAAATAGGGGAGGAGAAAGAATTTGAGGATCAATTCGAGGTCCAATATCTGAAATGGGATGTCTAGAAAGAATGAAGAGGGCAGAAAATTCTGAGACGAGTAACACATGAGTCATTTCTGGACCTAATGGACATGACTCTTCAGGTTAAGAGAGTTTTCCTACCACGGGCCCAGCACAGCCGAGAAACAGGATCGCAGACATGTTGTGGAGCATTGAAACTGGAGAGATTCCAAGATCAGGAACGCTGCCAGAGAGAAGAAAGTGGTCCCACACGCGCGGTCAGGAATTAGAATGGCTTCAGACTTCTCCACAGTAACACTAGGAGCACCAGCTCCGAAATTCGGATGAAAAGTCCTTTCCAACCTGGAAGTCTTTCCTGAAACTATCCATGAAGGGTGGGGGTCCAAGGAAGGTGTTTTCAGACAGGCAGAGTCTCAGATTTACTTCCTCTGTACCCCTTGTCAAGAAGCCAGTGAAGTGGGTTCTCCACCAGACAAGAAAGTAAACCAAGAGAGAAGACGACATGAGTTGCAGACAAAAGGGTGATGGTGCAGGAAGGTCCCAGGATGACAGCTGCATCCTGGGTACAGAGTCATCAGCCCGGTCACAGCTCGGGTGCAGGACCTGGGGACCAGGAGGTCACGGAGACGTGTGGAAGATAGTATCAGTGTTGCTGGAGAACTCTACTCTGTTGGAATGTTTGGGAGGTTTTAGTGACAGTTACATAGAAAAATAAGCAAATAAGGGTCTGTCTTTAAAAAGATTTACAAGCGAAGCTGATGCACCGGCAGATGATTAGGAGAAGAAATGACATCAGTTTTTGGTGAGCTTTAAGTACTTGGTTGGTCAACAGGCCACCTATTGGATCCTTTTAATTTGGAGCCCAGAAAAGCAAGAGTCTTACAGCAGGAATTTGGTGCTGGAAAAGATTCAGGGGGACTTAGCAAGTTAGGTCCTGGAAAATACCAGATTGAGCAATGTCTACTCATTGTTGGGGGTAAAGTGAGCAATCAGAGTTTTTATTGGTTTTCTTTACTTTATTGTGGTTTTTTGGTTGTTGTTGATGTTTTGTAGGCTCTTCAAAGAAATAAGTTTCCAGGACCTAGCCACACCGAGTCTTACTCTTGGCCTCCCATAGCACGTGGCTGTGACGTGGTCGTCATTGCTCACTGCGGAAATGACCCTCTGCTGTACCTTCCACCCGTGCTTACGATTTTGCAGACAGCGGGTTGCTACAAGTCGTTACCGAGTAGAAATGGAGTAAGTTGAAGACAATTTTGTTTTACAACAAAGTGGATTAAATATTTATTTTTAAGTTTTACACCTAACGTTTGGTAAAGTTTAGATTACGTTTACTCATTTGGTGTCCAAGCTGGCAGGATAGAAACTGCCCTCCGAGGACCTCCCTTCTGTCATCACGTCATTGATTCTGTCACACTGATTCCCGCCTGGATTCCCAGGCATGGGCCATCGGCTGAGTCGAGAGAGTCCTGGCTTTTAGAGACGAATACATGGTTTATAAAAATATGTCACTGACTTAATTCATCTGATTGTCACGACAGCCCTATGAGATGATCAGGCCTGATATTGTTCTCACCATTTTACAGATGAGAAAATTAAGCTCGTGAAAAGTTACTAGTATGAATTCTTCACAGCTGACGAGTGTGACAAGAAGTGGCATTGGAATTTAGGTTTTCTGCCATCTTGTCCCCTATTCTTCACATTATTTTCACAGCGCCCCACACTGTTTTTAATCCTACTTTATGTTTCCCACGCCTAAGAATCTGAAAATAGCTGAGAAAGATGATAGAAGGGAGAGAAATTGGGTGTGAGGGTCACGTGACGGTGGGGTAGTGACGTCTGCCTGCCGGGTTCTGGCCGTCAGGTGACGGACGTGTTTACGACCTCTGCTCAGATGCTGCCGCGAGGATGCTCTGCAGACAGTCCCGTCACTCGGTATGAGGGGGAAGTAGCAGCACCAAACACACAGAGTTGCGTTTTTGCAAAGATACTAGTTTGTTTTTCTAATTATGCTGTGTAGCTTAATGATTTCCCTTTGGAAATCTGCGCTGGCTAAGTTACGTATTAATTTAATAAAATTAAGTGGACACGTTGGTGTCCCGCAGTCGGGCAGCCGCTGACCCCTGTTGATGAGATGCAGCTTGTGTTGAGATTGAGCCCCAGCAGGGCGGAAGCGGTGTCCGGGGCCTGCCTCTGTGTCTCCTCGCTTCCCCGCCTCCCCGCCGTCAGCCTGCTCGTAGTCCTGGCCTGGAAGCTGGCGCTCGCCTGGATCTCTCCTCTTGGGTTAGCTGAGGGCGCCTGTCCAGGAAGGCCTTTGGCAGGCAGTGCGCCTACAGGAGGTAGCTGTGGGGTAGTGGAGGGCAGGGCTCAGATGGTGCTAGAGTAAATTTAATCTCCTTGGGCAGAGGTGTTAACCTTTGTTAAGGCCCCTTTCAGGAGGCAGTTAGTGCCTCCTTGTGCTTGGGAGCAGGAGCTCTAGAGCCAAACCATCTGGTTTCAAATCCTGTTGCTCCTGTGTATTAGCTCTGCAGCCTTGGGCAACTGACTTCACCTCTCTGTGCCTTAGACTCTTCATCTGTGAGATAAGATAGTCATAGGTCCTATCCTGTAAGCGTGTTTTAAGGACTAAATGGATTAATACTTGTGAAGTGCTCAGTTTAAGCCCTAGGAAAATCTGAGTCAGTGTGTCTAAATCCATTTTAATGACATCATATTTTAACTTTTCTGACCTATATGATGATGATAGCAAAAACTTGAATAGTGCTTCCCCTCTACAAGAAGATGTTCTGCATGCTTCACTTAGCCTATGTTGGATTCCTAACTTTTATCCAAAATCCTGTGAATTTGTTTGCTTTGCAGCCTCTGGCAGTCTTCGTGTGCCCTGGATGGAAGAAGGCCCAGTTTGTTTTTGAATTATTGGGAGACTACGGCACGTCCTCCAGGCCGCTTCATCCCGTGTTGTTAACCATCGGACTCCACAAGGACGAAGCCAAAAATATGAAGCTTCCACGGGGCTGTAAGCGCGCTTTCCAAGCTGTTTGGTTTTCCCTGCAGAACACGGGGGAACCCGGCCAGGCGGGCCTGGCGCCGGCAGACACGGGTCGTGTGCTGACCGTCACCGTCCAGACCTCACCTCTCAGCTCCGGACGGGTGTGGCTGGTGGAGGTTTGATCTTGGCTGGCGTCTGTTTCACTGAGAAAACTGCGTGATTGCGGTCTTTTATCAGCTGTTTCCTGAGCACCTCCTGTTTGTTTGAGGTTGACTACAACCAGGTTGGGAGCCCGGGTGTGGAATCAGATGATGACACGGCCTAGCCTTGTCTCGCCTCAACCCCCTGAGGAAGAGAAGCAGCTTTTTGTTTAATTAGAAGACGTTTCTAGAAAGTGTGTGGAATCTTAGCAAAGGGAATGTTAGACCTCTGGAAAACCTACAAGGCGCATTGTTTTTTCTTTTAAACTGTAGGTGATGTGATTGTTACGACACCACACAGCCTCCTGAGACTTCTCAGATATCAGAGCTTGTTGTTTCTTAGACTCTGTCACCTGATCCTGGACGAGGTGGAGGTATTATTCTCTGAAGCCAGTGAACAAGTGAGTACGGCACCGTTTAGATGTCGTTACTGCTCAGAAAAATACACACACACGTATATATATAAAATTAAAGTCTTAACTGCTTTTAGGAATAAGGAAAAGCGTCTAGCTGGAGAAGAATCCAGTTAATCTAAAAAAAATTTTCTTTTAACTTGTATAATCAAGAGAGAGAACATTTGTCTGAAATTTCCTTCCCAATGTTAAAGCTCTCTTTGAAGAGCAAAAATTCTGTCCCAGAGAGGTTTCTAAAGTATTTAATTAATATTTTTCTGATTATGGAAGCAATAATTTTTACGGTATAAAATTGGAGAAATAGAGAAGAGCCCTTGAAAAACCCCGATATCCGTAATCTTAGACTCAGAGGTAATCACTCTTACTGTTTTGGAATATTTCCTTCCTTTTTATAATCCCTGTGTCTGTTGATCCATATAATTAATAATACCAGGACCTTATTTTATGTGCTAGTTTGTAACTTGCATTTTTCAGTGAACAGCATCGTGAGTATTATTACTATTCTACAGCATGACTGTTACGGGCCATATGGTATTGAATCCTGTGGGCATGACCGAATTGATTTTTAAATTTGTCTAAAGAACATACATCTTTTTTTTTTTTTTTGAAGATTTTATTTTTCCTTTTTCTCTCCAAAGGCCCCAGTGCATAGTTGTGTATTTTTAGTTGTGGGTCCTTCCAGTTGCGGCATGTGGGACGCCGCCTCAGCACGGCCTGATGAGCGGTGCCATGTCCGCACCCAGGGTCCAAACAGGCGAAACCCTGCGCCGCCAAAGCGGAGCGTGCGAACTTAACCACTGGGCAGTGGGGCCAGCCCAAGAACATACATCCTTTTTGCAGGTTTCCCTTAGGATAAATTCCTAGGAAGGGGATTAACCAGTCAAAGACTATGACTTCTTAACAAGGCTTTTGTTGGGAGTAGGGTAACCTGATACCAAGAGCATTCACTGGGAGCGGTGATGGCCTCAGCTTCAGGTCCCAGCTTTATGTGGGCCTGTGCAGGGCTCCTGAACTCCTCTAGCATCTCGGTTCCGTTTGCAGAACTGCGGTCTGGTGTCCTGCGTTGCACGGCTGACTTTCCGGGCGCGTAGCCCGCCCCGCTCCGTTGGGCACTGCGCCGCGTGCCGTGCCCCTGCACGCCTGTGGTCGGGCCCCCCAGCCTTCTCTGCCGTTGTTAAGTGTGGCCTCTCGCAGCTCAGTCTGTTTCCCTGAGTCCTTGTGAAGCTGAGCATTGATTCCTGCAGGCCATTTGTCCCTGCTCTTCTCTGAGCTGCCTGTTCCTTCCTGTGCTTATTTTCCGTCGGTGAGATCATTTTTTAAAACCAGTCTGCATAAGTTTTTATATAAGGAGGTTGATCCTTTGTTATGCGTGTTACACATATTTACCCAGATGCTGTCTGTGTTGTGTTCATACTGAACATTTTCTCCTTTTTTAGTTTTTCCTCTACTTTTATGTTTGTAAAGCCTTTCCCCACTCTGAGAAGAGAGAATATACAATCCTTTACCTTTTATATTCTGTCAAATTAATTGTTATTCTCTTTTGAAATAAAAATGAATTAATTATACTGATTTTTTAGATGTTTGCTATATTAGATAACTTTAAAAAAAATATTGAAGTTGAAGAAAGGGAATCGGCACCCCGTCAGATCGTTGCGGTCGGAGTTCACTGGGACAGACACGTGGAGCATTTGCTCCGAGAGTTCATGAGCGAGCCGTCCGTGGTGATCACGGCCCTGGAGGAGGGCGCTCTCTATGGCAGTGTCCAGCAGGTGAGGAGGCACGGGTGTGCTGGCGCCGATGGCCTCAACCAGTGACCTTTACTGCACGGCTTAATATTAAAAGATGATAGCTCCAGTTTCAGACACAAATCTGTAATATTTAAGTTGAATATTGATTTAAGTATTGAAGTTTACGTTGATTTCTCATGCATTCTTTTCTATTAAAATCGTACCTTACCTATGAAAAGTGAAACTGCAGCCCCTTGAACGTTTTTCCGTCACGTTGTTCTTGTATTTCATTACCAGGTGGTGCATCTTTGCCTAGAATGTGAAAAAACCTCTACTTTACTCCAGACTCTTGATTTCATCCCAAGTCAGGCACAAAAGACGCTGATCTTCACCTGTTCTGTAGCTGAAACAGAAACAGTGTGCAAGGTGAGCCCTCCCGCACGTGGTGTTCTTACCGGGTGTTTAAACTGTGATCGAATCGCGAGTCTGCAGAGAATTACTGAGGTAGTTACATGTTTGACATGGGAATACAATTTTATAAGTTTAGCATCACTCAGGGGAGGAGGTGGGTTCTGCTGCGAGTGCTGATAGCAGTGGAGGGGCGAGCAGGAGGCTTGACACCGCCAGGGGTGGGGGTGGGGGGTGGGACGGGACGGGGGGAGTGGGGGCCATGAGGTGGGACCAGCCTTCCCGCTGATGCGAACATCACCCAAGGGAGCAGTGCCTCCTGTCAGGATGGAGCATCATCCGACTCAGGAAGAAATCCAACCTCTTCTGTACCTTTGTTTAAGAAAATAGAGAAGGTGACATTGAAATATGTTATCATGTAACCAGAAAAGCCAAATAAATTGGCTGAAGATTTAGTTAATCTGATTTTGTATAAATCATGCTAAAATGTAGAAACCAGGCCAAATTCAAAATAAAGTATAAGAATCGGTAGTACATCCACCTTTCAACAATAATGAGCTAGAAGGTGTAGTGAAAAAGCTCCTGTTGATAATAGTACCATAAATTTGGTGCGTACATATACAGGTGTGTGTATCTACATACACACACAGATATCTGTATATTTATATATGTGCATACATACGCACACATGTACACATGCACATATATGTACACACACACGTATGGATGCATTATTTAAAAACAAAAGTAGGGGCCGGCCACATGGCCGAGTGGTTAAGCTCACATGCTCCGCTTCAGTGGCCTGGGGTTTCCCTGGTTTGGATCCTGGGCATGGACATGGCACTGCTCATCAGGCCACACTGAGGCGGCTTCCCACATGGCACAACCAGAGGCACTCGCAACTAGAGTATACAACTGTGTACTGGGGGCTTTGGGGAGAAGAAGAAGATTGGCGACAGATGTTAGCTCAGGCGACAATCTTAAAAAAAATTTAAAAATTTAAAAAATAAATGAAAAGGAAAGTAGTTTTAGCAAAATAATGTTTGTTTCACTTGAGCAAGTTTTTCTATATAAATTATTGAATTCTGGAAATATATTTATTTAAATTTACAATCATCTCCTTCTTCGAATTAGTGGCTCAGTGAGATAACGCCGTCACAGATAAAGTGGCGTATGTGATCATTAGTGATAAACAATTGACTTCAAGCTTATGTTCCTGACTGTGACATGGCCTCTGGTTTCATCTTTAGGTAGTAGAAAGCAGTTCCATATTTTGCTTGAAAATGCACAAAGAGATGGTTTTTGATTTAAAAAATGTTTTAGAGCAGTGGAGGAAGAAGTTAAGTTCTGGCTCTCACATTGCGTTAGGTAAGTGTTTTCATTTGTTTATCTTTAGAGAAGGCTGAGCTTGTAGGAATCATGTCTTCAGTTCATTGATCTGTCCTCTCTCCAGATTGCTCAGCATCTCCCAGATTTGCTGAGAACTTATTAGTAGTGTTAATTCCAAAATGAAGATTAACCTCCACTAGGATTTTGGTCTTTAGGTGGATCCAGGTGCCCCCGGGCGCTCAGGTCAGCAGGCAGCGACCCCTAGTCTAGTCCAGACATTGTCCCTGGAGTTCCAGCCTGGGGATCGCTGTCTCATTTATATATATTACATATGTATGCGCCTATGATGAAACACGGTCATCAATGGTTGGTAGACTTAATATTAGAAATATGAGCATCAAAATGTATAAAATAAGTGTAAAACATGTGGGCAGCCTATATTTGTGATAAAAAGAGACATTTTTCAAGCTAAAAGGGAGAGCACTTCTCTCTGGAATTTAATCACTGGTTGTGACATTTTTCGAAAAAAATGGGCAAGAAGTGTCTTTGCATCTAAAAAGTAAAATGCAATAAAGAAATATGTTGAAGGACGGTTGGTGGACTTGCTCTGTGGAGTAAGCGCAGCGAAGCTCCAGCCTCATCTGCGGTTGTTGGACTCTTTCTCCAGCCTTGACTGATGATTGCATCCCGCTCCTGGCCATCACTGATGCCACGTGTGTGATTCACTTCAGCTTTCCTTCCTCTCCAAAAATTTTTGGTGGACGCCTATATTGCATGTCTGATCATTTTCACAGTTCAGCCGAACAGGTTTGATTAATTTTTATCATGTTTTAATATTCCACTGGCATTTTCTGGGTACTGACAAATTCAGACTCCCTGAAGCTTCATCACTGAGACTGATGTGGATGACCTGCTTCCTTTGTTCACCCCCGCTTTTAAGGGTTCTCCTGCAGAACAGGGAGATATAAAAACCAAATCTGTGTTGCTGCTGACGGAGAGAAATGCATGCCATGCAGTTGGTGTCCTGCGCTACTTGGAGCGAGCAGAGGCCAAGATTCCACTGGAGCTGTACGAGTTCACTGCGGGGGTTCTGGAAGCCAAAGAAGACGAAAAAGCCACCAGGCCTCTTTGTCCATATCTTAAGGCTTTTGGTTTTTGCAAGTAAGCCAGTCATCTTTTTTTAATTGAGATACAGCATACAGTAGACAGAGACGATAAGTTTGCGGCTTGGTGAACTGTCATGTGTGGGTGCCCCCATGTAAGCCACCTGCTCTGAGGGAGCACCCCGGATCCCCTCGTGCCCCTTCCCCAGGAGTGAGCACCCTCCTGATAGCTGTCAACGTTGATTAGTTTTGCTTGTTTTTGAACTTCGTATAAATGCAATTATAGTACATTCCACCTAAATCTGTGACATTCATCTGTTGTTGTGGGTGTCGATATTTGTTATTTTGTGGCTCAGTTTCCATTGTACGAGTATCTTACCATGTACATATTCATTCGTCTGTTGGTGGGCCTGTGGGTTGTTTCCAGTTTTTGGTTATTTATGTATGAAGCTGCTATGAACATTCTTGTACCTGTCTTTTTGTGAAAATACGCACCCATCTCCTGGGGTACATACTTTGGAGTGGAATTGCTGGGTCATAAGGTAGACGTATGTTCCCCTTGTCCAAAGCGGCTGACCATGTCACGGTCCCAGCAGCAAAGTGTGAGAGAGAGTGAGTTTCTCCATATTTTCGTGTTCATGAGGGTGGCGTGGTAAATCACTGTGATTTTCGTTTGCGTCTCTCTGATAATAAGTAGTGTTGAATGTCTTTTCATATGCTTGCGGGACGTTGACTGTCCTCTTTTTGTGAAGTGCCCGTTCGGGCCTTTTGTCCTTTTTTTAAATGGGGTGTTTATCTTTTTCTTACTGGTTTGTTGGGGTCTTTTATTTATCCTAGATATGAGAGTGCTTTGTCAGATGTTTGCACTGAGCGTGTCTTCTCCCAGTCTGTGGCTTGCCTTTTTACTCTCTTAATAGTCTTTTGATGAACAGACATTTTTAATTTTGAAGAAGTATTTTACAGTTACTGTTTTTGTGTCCTTATTTAAGAAGAAGTATTTGCCTATCTCTAGATCGTGAAGACATTCTTCTGTATTTTGTTCTAACAGCTTTATAGTTTCAGCTTTCACATTTAGGCGTATAATCCATATTGAGTTAATTTTTTATGTAGTGTGAGATATGGGGCAAGGTTTACTTTGCTACAGCATCATATATTTAAAACCTCGTTGTGTTCTCCCGAATTGGTGCCTTTGACATAGACCAGATGATAGTCTCTGTGGTCCGTTGTGGGCTCTCTCTGTTCGTTGGGCTGTACGTCTGTCCTTCCACTCGTCCTGAACTTTCTCGAGTACGGTAGCTTGTGCTGTAGCGAGTCATGGAAGCTGGTGTATCAGTCCTGCACCGTTGCTCTTCTTCAGGGTTGTTTTGCTATTTTTAGGTTTCTTGCATCTCCATATACATGTTAGAATAGACCTGTCAATTTCTTCTAAAACCCTGCTGAAATCTGGACGGAAACTGCATGGGTTCTATGAGTCAGCGTGGACAGTGTGGGTCTCTTAACAGTCCTGGGCCCTCTCGCTGACGCAGACACCATGCCAATGCTTGATAAATAGACGGCTGGGGCTGGGTCGTCGGCGTCTGATATGTATCTACTGGGATGAATTTAATTTTAAGATAACTGTTGACATTAACTTTTTTAAATTATGGTACGTTAAACGGGTTATTAGCAGCAATTTCCATCATGCCTTTAATAGAATATTGACTTTCTCAGTTTGGCTTAAGGAATGTTGTCTGGTTCAGAGGTTAATTGGCCTTTGTTGTGGGTTATGGGGTTGTGTTTCTGGTTCAGAATCTTTATTTTGGAAGAACATTTTGTCCATTTACATATTGCATTTAAGAATGTCGACAGAAATAACGAAGTAACTCTTTGCTTTAAGTTTATTTGGTGTCAATTAAATTTCAGGATCCCTTTCACTTATTTGCATATGGTTAATGTCATCTGAAGTATTTAAAATGGTTGCTTCACTTTTAAACTGTTTGGAATAAAAGTTCTCTGATTTTAATTATAGATTAATTTTCCTAAAGAATACTTTAAAATCTATGTTAAAAATTATTATTGTTTTTTTCTGGTTTTGAAATCCAGTTCCTTTTTTTCAGAGACAAAAGACTCTGTCCTGAGCGACACCATATTAATCCAGAAACAGACGCGCCAAGGAAACTGTCCAACCAAGCTGTGCCGGGGTTTGGGTGTATTAAAGTAAGTTCTCTTAAAGATCCTTCTGTTGAGTGATTAATGTTCATTTTAATGAATGATACTTCATTTTTTAAGCAACAGAATTTTAGTAGAAGATAATTGTGACAGTATTAATGTAGCACCATTAATCTGACAATAGTCATGGCTCCTTATAAGGTGCCTTATTTCAGGGCCCCAGTTTGTGTAGAAAACCAAGATCAAATTGGGGAAATGGATGAATGCCTTCAACAGTTTAGGGATTTTTTTTTTTCTTTTGAGGAAGATTAGCCTGAGCTAACTGCTGCCAATCCTCTTCTTTTTGCTGAGGAAGACTGGCCCTGAGCTAACATCCATCCCCATCTTCCTCATCCTTATACGTGGGGCGCCTACCACAGCATGGTGTGCCAAGCAGTGCCATGTCCGCACCCGGGATCCAAACCGGCGAACCCCGGGCCGCCAAGAAGTGGAACGTGCGCACTTAACTGCTGCACCACCAGGCCGGCCCCCTGTTTAGGGATTTTTGAGTTATATTTTCAGAAAGAAAGTGGTTTCTATTTGGGGACTATTAAAAATAGTGCAGTGATAATATGAATCTTTGCAGAATAGCCATGATATTCCTTTAAGGAAAATTCTGAGATGCAGATAGAATTGCTGAGTTAAGAGCGTCACTTGCTTTTGAATCCTTTTTGTTACTTTCTTCCTTGCTTTTTGAGTTGCTTGTTCTCCTTTCCACCTTCCCTTTGCCTTAAGGCGTGTCTGTTGTGTTCATTCCTGCTCGTGCTCCTTCTTGGGAGGCTGCGGTGTCCTCGTTTCCTGGGGCTCCTGTGACCAGTACCACAGATGGAGGAGGGCCTTGAAACAGCATGCGTTTATTCTTTCACACTGTTGGAGGCCGGAGGTCTGAATCAAGGTGTCGGCAGGGCCGTGCTCTGTGCCCGTTGCGGCTTCCGTGGGCTGCGGGCGCTCCTTGGGGTGTCTTAGCTTGCAGCCCGTCACTCCAGTCTCTGTCCCCAACTTCGCTTCGCCGCCTCCTCTTCTGTGTCTCTTGTAAAGGACACTTGTCTCTGGCCGTAGGGCCCTCCCCCATAACCCAGAGCAGTCTGCTCATCTGGAGATGCTTAATGACATCTGCAAAGATCTTTTTTCCAAATGAGGTCACTGTCGCAGGTTCTGGGAGTTAGCGCGTGGACACATTTCGGGGGAGGCTGCCATTCGACCCATGACAGTTTTCATTACTGAAATGATTGTTTTCTTTAATTTCTAATTCTTTCCCGAGTTCTGATGCCTCATTTTTAAGTTTTTCTAATTCTGCTTTATGTTGTTTTTTTATATCATATATCATGTTCTTAACAAGCTAAAAGGCTGCTTATCTTGAAAGTGAAGGTTACGGCTTTGATCCGTTTGATGGGCGCATCTTTCTGGCGGCTCTCATCGTCTCTGGGGACTCTTGTTCTTTTCCTTATTCTCTTTTTTTATCATTATAGCTTAATATGGGATTTGGCCGTGATACTTTGCTATTGCTCGGTTTTAGATAAAATCTATTTTCCTTCAATTTTAGAAGGAGTTGTGGGTCAGGATAACTTTTCTGATTGACAGAGTTCCCATTTCCATTGTTTTCAGTCTGTACCAAAAAATACGGAGACAGTTTCTGAGATTTTCGAGATTTCCTGGCTGTGTTCCCCTCCCCTACTCGTTTCCGGCCCTTCTCTTCCTTCACCTCTGTTGTCCCTGCATGAACGGTCTCCAGGTTTCACGGGGCCCAGCCGTCACCACTGCTGGAGTGGATGGAGGCCTTCCCGCACTTGGCGCTCTTGTCACGCTGGCCCGCCATGCTCTCGCTGAAGGCCGGTGGCCTCTTGTGGGCTCTCTTGTTCTTACCCCTCAGATGCGCCCTTGCCTCCCTCTCTTGCTTCCCGCACAGACCACGAGACATGCGGGTCTGTGATGTGGATGCGTTTGGCTCATCTGCTTTTTTGTTGTTGTTTCAATTAATAGATTTTATTTACTTATTTGTAATTTCTTTCTTTCTTTTGGTGAGGAAGATTAGCCCTGAGCTGACATCTGTGCCAGTCTTCCTCTCCTTTGTACTTGGATGCCCCACAGCATGGCTGATGAGTGGTGTGGATCCGCACCCAGGATCCGAACCTGCGCACCTGGGCCATTGAAGCAGAGCACGCGGAAATTTAACCACTCAGCTACGGGGCTGGCCCCCCAGCTAATAGATTTTAGTTTTTAGAACAGTGTTAGGTTTATAGAAAAATTGAGCAGAAAATACAGAGACTTCCCATCAACCCCATCACACCCTTCTCCCCCAGTTTCCCCTGTTATTAACATCTCGCGTTAGTGTGGTGCGTGTTTGTCAATTGATGAGCCAACATTGATGCGTTATTATTAATTAAGGGGCATAGTTTACGTGAGGGGTCACTCTTGGTGGTGTACATTCTGCGAGTTTGCTAAATGTCTAAGGACACATATCTACCATTAAAGTATCATATGGAATAGTTTCACTGCCCTAGAGATCCCCTGTGCTCCACCTGGCCACCCCTCCCCTCTTCCCCAGAACCCCTAGCAATCACCAGCCTTTTTATTGTCTCCATAGTTTTGCCTTTTCCAGAACATCATATAGTTGGACTCACACAGGATGTAGGCTTTTCAGACGGGCTTCTTTCATTTACAGTATGCATTGAAATTCCTCCATTGCCTCGTGTGGTAATAGCTCTTTTCTTTTTATTGCTGAATATACCACAGTTTGTTTATCCATTCGTCTATTGGAAGACATCTTGGTTGCTTCCAAATTTTGCCAATTATGAATAAAGCTACTATAAATATTGATGTGCAAATTTTTGTATGGACCAAAGTTTTCAGCTTGTTTGGGTAAATACCAAAGAGCGTGATTGCTTAGTAAGTAAGTAAGTAAGATTGTATTTTCTTTGTAAGAAACTGCCAAACTGTCTTCCAAAGTGGCCGTACCATTTTGCATTCCCACCAGCAATGAATGAGAGTTTGCTGTTGCCCCACATTCTTGTCAGCATTTGGTGTTGTCAGTGTTTGGATTTTAGCCATTCTAATAGGTGTGTAGTGGTGTCTCATTGTTTTAGTTTGCAATTCTGTGATGACATATGATGTTGACTGTCTTTTCTTATGCTTATTTGTCACCCGTATATCTTCTCTGGTGAGGTATCTGTTCAGGTTTTTTGCCCATTTTTTAATTGGGTGGTTTATTTTCTTATTGTTGAATTTTAGGAGTTCTTTGTATATTTTGAATACCAGTCTTTATCAGGTATGTGTTTTGCAGAAATTTTCTCCTAGTCTGCAACTTGTCTTTTCATTCTTCTTTACAGTATTGTTTGCAGAGTAGAAGTTTTTAATTGTAATAAAGTACACTTTTTGATTTTTTCTTTCATGGATCGTGTGGGTATTGTATCCAAAAAGTCTTTGCCAAACCCAAGGTCACCTAGATTTTCTCCTGTGTGATCTTCCTCATCTGCCTTCGTTTTGGAGTCCCTGGGGATATTTTGTGAATTACTTTTATTGCAAGTCGTGTCCCTGGCTTTGCTGTCTCATTGCTCTGTCTGTCTTCCTGTGGGGATTCAGAGAAAGTCACACAATGTCACACTTCCCCACTGCCACCTTCCCAGAGGCCCTCCAGCCAGGCCTCTTCTTCTCTATCTGCTGTATTGAGGTATAATTTACATACAATAAATATCAATATTTTTAACTGTAAAGTTTTTTGAGTTTTGATAAATATATACAGTCATGTAACTATTACCACAGTCAAGATACAAACATTTCCATTCCCCCAGAAAGGTCTCTTTTGTCCCCTTGCTCTGCTCCCCTCTCCCTGGTAATCACTGATCTGCTTTCTGTCACTATAGTTTTGTTTATTAGAATTTCGTATTAATGGGTATGTAGTCTTTTGAGTCTGGTTTCTATTACTTGCATGATGCTTTTGAGATTATCTATGTTGCTGTTTTTTATTGCTGAGTAGGATTCCCTTATATGGATGCACTATAATTTGTTCACAAGTTGATGGACTTTTGGCTTTCCAGTTTCTGGTTGCTATGAATATTTGTGCTCAAGTCTTTATGGACATACATTTTTATTTCTCTTTAGAAAGACCTAGGAGTGGAATTGCTGGGCCATACAGTAAGAGTATATTTATAAGAAACTGCCGAACAGTTTTCTAAAGTAGTTGTACCATTTTATGTTCTCACCAGCCCTGCATATGAGAATTCCAGTTGGTCCACATTCTCATCAGTTCTTGGTATTATCAGTCTTTAATTTTTGCCACTCTGTTGCATTGGCACCACCAGCTTATTTGCATTTCCCTGGTGGTAAAGAATCTTCAACATCTTTTCACTGCTTAATGGCCATGTCTTTCTCTTCTTTTATGAACTCATTGCCCATTTTTCATTTGGGTTTTCTTCTTGTTGAGTTTTAACAGTTCTTTATATATTCTGGATCTCCTTTGTCAGATATATTGCAAATATTTTCTCCCAGTTGAAAAGCAAAGTTTTTAACTTTGATGAAGTCTAGTTTATCACTTATTTATTTCACGTGCTATGCTTTTCATTCCATAAGAAATCTTTGCCTACCCTAAAGTCACAAAAATTACCCCCTGTGTTTTATTCTAGAAGCTTCATAGTTTTATATTTAGGTCTATGATCCATCTCAGATTAACTTTTGTGTGTCGTGTGGATAGGGGACGAGTTTTTTTCTTTATGGAACATCAGTTGCTGAAGCATAATTTATTATAAAGACCTTCTTTTCCCCCTAAATTGCATTGGCACCTTTGACATAAATCAGGAGACTATATATGTGAATTCTGAACTCTTTATTTTGTTCTTGGTCTATTTGTCTGTTTTTATACAGTACCACGCTGGCTTGATTACTGTAGCTGTGTAGTCTTTTTTTTTTTTTTAAGATTTTATTTTTCCTTTTTCTCCCCAAAGCCCCCCAGTACATAGTTGTGCATTTTTAGTTGTGGGTCCTTCTAGTTGTGGCATGTGGGACGCTGCCTCAGTGTGGCCTGGTGAGCAGTGCCATGTCCGCGCCCAGGACTCGAACTGGCAAAACCCTGGGCCGCCGAAGCGGAGCGCACGAACCCAACCACTCGGCCATGGGGCCAGTCCCTGTAGCTTTGTAGTCTTAAAAATTGATAGGTAAGTCCTCCAGCTTGGCCCGTCTTCTTCAGTATCCTTTGACTCCTCCTTTACAGACGTGTATACAATTTTAGCATCACCTGCCAGCTTCTACTCAGAAGCCTGCTGGGACTGTGGCTGGCGTTGCGCTGAGTCTGTAGATTAATATGAAGAATTGACATCTGAACTCTACTGAGGCTTCTAGTCCATTAACATGGTGTATCATTCCACTTGTCTCGGGCATCTTTAATTTCTCTAAGCAATGTGTTCTAATTTTCAGGAGAAGGATCTTGTACTTATTGTGTTAAATTTATCCCTAGTATTTCATGGTTTTGGATGCTATTGTTAATGTTATTTTCCTTTAAACTTGATTTTCTAATTGTTTTAGAAATTCAGTTGATTTTTGTAGCCTTACCTTGTATCCTGCAACCATCGCAAACTGAATTCATTACTTGCAGGGGTACGGGGGGAGTGGAATCAAAACAGGCAGGGTGGGTGGAAAGAAGGGACCTTGTCAGTGTGCCCAGGACCGAGAGGTTTCCTGGCACATGGGATGTTCAGTGCTGAAACCAGGAAAGCCCCAGACAGGCCAGGACGAGCTGGCCACCCAGTCCATGCCCTCCTCCTCCCATCAAGAGAGTCCAGTCCACAAGCTTCTTTTCGGCACCTCCCTCTGCCAACTTAATATGTCTTTGGATGTGCTAATGCCACGCAGAGGCCGCTGCCACAGACCCACGCCAGCTTGGGCCTGGCTTTTGTTCACGCCTGTGTGCTGAGGCCCCTTAGGCTGAACACAGAGCCTTTGAACTTGGGAAATATGGAGGAGAAGGAAACTCTGCCCCTTCTCCCTGTCATCCTAAAACAATACCAACAGCATTTTCGTCTATTGCCTCTTTTTAAAAATGTGTTTATTGATGTGTATGTTGTGCCTGCTCATCTCTTGTGACACTGTAGTGTCTTTCTCATCCTCTGTATCCCCTCATGTGCACTGTCTGCCATCACCCAGTGCGTGGTTGTCTGGAACGCCAGACCGCTGGGGCCTCTAGACCATGGGGGAGAAGGCTCCCCCGGGAGGAGACCGTCTGCCGGGCAGGGAGGATACTGGACTCCCACCTGAGATGGGGTGGGCCTGCGCAGCACCGGGGGCTCATTAAGGCAGCTTTCTCCACGGCACTGCAGAGTAGCTGGCTTGGGAACAGTGACAGACACGTCACCTGTCCTCTGTGGGCATGGTTAGCATTGGGCGTGGTTGGCAGTGGGCGTGGTCAGCAGTGGACAAGTGGGAAAAGAGATGCTTCCAGTGGTGACTATCCAGGAAGAGGATGAGATGCCTATGGTGAAGTAGTAAACGTGTGCTGGTGTAAGTGTGCCGGGCCGAGAGGGACCCTTTGGAAATTATAGGCAGGGAGAGACTCTGCAAGAAGGGGTTAACTGCTCTGAGTCCCAAATGATAAGAAGCATCCAGCTGTGGGAAGAACTGAGAAAGAATATTCCAGGCAGAGGAGCCAGCAAGTGCAAAGGCCCTGAGGTAGGAGTTAATGTGGTTGTGGAACAGGCCAAGGCTCATTCGCAATGAGAGTGGGAGAGAAGCACATAGTGAAGTTTAAGGGGACCACAGAGGAGGGCCAGTTCCAGGGTCAGCCCTGTGAGATCTGACCCCCTTTTGATCACAAAGGGGGACCTCAGCCATCTGCCTTGCCTCCGGCCAGCACTGCTGTCTCTGCCATGCCACAAGGTGGGCACTTCTCGGGCCTGGCATCTGCTCTGGGCATCCGGTGCTCCCACCTTGTGCAGAGCGTTTGCACCCTGCCTACGATGCCTCCGCCATACTCTTACCTGCACGCGTGCCTGCGGACAACCCCCACACGCCAGCACCCTGCACACCTGCCTGTGGGAGCTGCCGTCTTGACCGCCCACCAGCCGTGGCGCCTGTCCAGTCGCGGGCGGCCGAGGGCCTTCCTCTCTGTGTCCCTAGTGCCTCGTGCTCAGCAGGCTCATCATCAAACACTTCTTGTCACGTGAACAAAGGTCAGAAAGGGCTCGAGAGACGGGGACGCTAAGAAGGATTTTTATAGAGTGCAGTTAAAAAGTAAACAAAGATTCACAGAACTAAAAGTGAAGTGGTTTTCTTTCTTTGCTGAGGAAGATTTGCCGTGAGCTAACATCCGCTACCAATCTTCTTTCTGCATGTGAGCCACCGGCCGCAGCATGGCCACCGACAGGGAGTAGTGTAGGTCCAGGCCTGGGAACTGAACCCAGGCCACCAAAGTGGAGCACGCTGAACTTAACCACTAAGGCCACGGGGCTGGCCCTAAAAATGAAGTTTGAAAATAGTAAGGTTTATGGGGCCGGCCCAGTGGTGCAGAGATACATTCGCACGTTCAGCTTCAGCGCCCCAGGGTTCACCAGTTCAGATCCCAGATGCGGACATGGCACCACTTGTCAAGCCATGCTGTGGTAGGCGTCCCACATAGAAAGTAGAGGAAGATGGGCATGGATGTTGGGTGAGGGCCAGTCTTCCTCAGCGAAAAAGAGGAGCACTGGCAGTAGTTAGCTCAGGGCTAATCTTCCTCAAAAAAAAATAAAATAAATAAAATAAAATAAATTGGCTGTCAGCTAAAGGAGAAGAAACAGCAAAAAGAGGAGGATTGGTGGCAGATGTTAGCTCAGGGCTAATCTTCCTCAAAAAAATAAATAAATAAATAAAATAGTAAGATTTACCAAAAAAATCCTCCATTAGATTTAAAGTGAAAGTAATTATTTGTGGGTGTGGTGAGGTTTTTATTTTATTTTGTTTTGTTTTGCTTTCTGGCCAGTTCCCTAGTTTATCTTTAAATCCCCTGTTTGTGTGTTGTGGGCTCGTGGTCAGGTGCTGGTTTCTGCGGTCACGGCCTTGGTTTTGACTGAGTTTATTTTCTGGATGTGTTTGCTGTGTGTTTCAGATAATACCCTTGTATATTTTGAATGCAACAAATTACTTTGGTCGTATCGTTGATAAACATGTGGATCTTTACGCAACTCTTAATGCTGAAATAAATGAGTATTTTGAGGATTCCAGTAATAAAACGACTGTTGAGAAGGTGGAGAAACTTGGATTATATGGATTAGCAGAAAAGACACTTTTTCACAGGTAAAATCGTGTGTTCATTTCATCTCTAAAAGTTGTGAAGGGTGAGGTAGCCTTAAATCGTGTTGAACCCCTGTCTTCACCTCTGTCCGTTGGACCCAGTTGCTCTCACTAAGCCTGGCTGCCTCCCAGGAGGTGGTGGCAGCGTCGTGTCCCGCACGCACCAGGCCCACTTCTGCACGTGAGACCCCTCTGAGCCCCGGCTCCTGAGCACAGAGCGTGGAGGACGGTGTGGCGTTTATACACCGACGTGGACTGAGCTGTCGCTGTGTGCCACATACACGTACATCTTTAACTCACTCCATTCTTAGAGAATTCCTGTGAAGTGGGTCTCACTCCCATTTTCCAGATAGGAGAACTGAGCCTGGTGAGGTGATGTCGCTGTGTCAGGGCAGCTGGGCACTCGGCCGCCCGTGCCTGCTCCCCCCCGCCCAGCTCGAATGCCGCCCCCTCCTCCTGGGGACGACCCAGACCGGGCCTCGGAAAGTTTAATATGCTCTGCGGATTTTTATTGTGTTGTCAGATAAAGGGATCTACTCTGTTCAGACGTACTAGGTGTTTTTTATACTTAGGTTTACTTTAATCCAGTAAAGCATCCGCTTATTTTTTCTCTGGTTTGGAGTGAAACCATACAGTTTAAGGGTCTTTTGGTAGGTTTTGGGTTTAGTGGGTGAGTTGAGGAGAAGGTTATTGTCATTTTAGAATCTCTGTGTTAAACTGACGCCACTACTTCCTCCAGGGTTCAGGTGCTGGAGAAAAGCCAAAAAGATGACACCTGGGCCCCCAACAACGTCCTCGTGAAGTTTATTGATGAGGGCAGGACTGCACTCGTCCCGAGGGAGCAGCTGCTGCGCCTCCCCGAGCGCTTCCACGCGCTGCCGCCCCAGGCGGTGGAGTTTATTGTTTGTAGAGTGAAGCCCGCTGACAACGAAATCGAATGGAATCCCAAGGTGAGTTCTTTGGGCTTTTTAAATTTTGTTGACTTTTACAATATATTTAAACCCAGAATATACACAGAATGGAGGTTTATTTGAATTTAGAGTACTGAGTTTAGGTAAAATGGTCCATGCTGCTGGGCAGTTAGGCTGCAGTCTGCTTGGGTCCCTGCTCTTGCAGGGGTGCCCTTACGGCCGCGGTGCACAGACCCAGCTCTGAGCCCTCGGAGAGGCGAGGGGTACCCTTGCCAGGACAGCTCACATCATTATCTTTAGTGCTCACGGACTTAGAATTGGCATAAAATATGTGTCATGATAAAATAAATTGGCTGTCAGCTAAAGGAGAAGAAACAGTGTAAGTACCTGCAGAAGTGGATCCCCGTGTCAAAGGGGGACGTCGGTGACGACACTCTTTGCAGAGGCCAGGTCATCCCGCTGGAGTTGGGAGGATGGACAGGAGAGAGAGAGAGAGTCCAGACAAACTTCCACAGGAAGGGCTCTTCGGGACGGCAACTAGCATGTCATCACGTACAGGCATACCTCGTTTTGTCACACTCTGCTTTATTGCACTTCGCAGATATTTTGTTTTTTTACAAATTGAAGGTTTGTGGCAACCCTGCCTCGAGGGACTCTGCGATGCCATTTTTCCAGCAGCATTTCCTCATTCCGTGTCACATTTTGGTAATTCTCAGAATATTTTAAACCTTTTCATTAGTGTTATATCTGTTATGGTGACCTGTGGTCAGCGGTCTTGATGTTACTATTGTAATTGTTTGGGGCGCCATCAACCACACCTGTATAAGATGGTGAGCTTGATCCATAAATGCTGTGTGTGTTCTGACTGTTGCACTGACCGGCTGGCTGTCCCCCCGTCTCTCCCCGTCTCCCCGGGCCTCCCTGTTCCCTGAGACACAACAATATTGAAATTAGGCCGATCAGTAATCCTACAGTGGCCTCTAAGTGTTCAAGTGAAAAGAAGAATCAAACATCTTTCACTTTATGTCACGAGCTGGAAGTGATTAAGCTTAATGAGGAAGGCAGGTCAAAAGCCAGGCCTCTTGTGCCAGTTCTTGGAAATTAAAAGTGCTACTCCAGTGAACACATGAATGACAAGAAAGTGAAACAGGCTTATTGCTATATGCGGGAAGTTTTAGTGGTCTGGATAGAAGAGCAAACCAGCAACAACATTCCCTTAAGCCAAAGCCTGGTCCAGAGCAAGGCCCTGACTGTCTTCAATTCTGTGGAGGCTGAGAGAGGTGAGGGAGCTGCAGAAGAAAAGTCTGAAGCCAGCAGAGGTTGCTTCATGAGGTTTAAGGAAAGAAGCCCTCTCCATAACATAAAAGTGGAAGGGGAAGCAGCCAAGTGCTGATGGAGAAGCTGCAGTAAGTTCTCCAGAAGATCCAGCTAAGATTATTAATGAAGGTGCTACACTAAACAACAGATTTTCAATGTAGACAAAACAGCCTTATATTGGAAGAAGATGCCATCTAGGACTTTCATAGCTGGAGAGGAGAAGTCAGTGTCTGGCTTCAGAGCTTCAAAGGACAGGCTGACTCTTTAGGGGCTAATGCAGCTGGAGACTTTAAGTTGAAGCCAGTGCTCATTTACGATTCTGAAAGTCCCAGGGCCCTTAAGAATGATGCTAAATCTGCTCTGCCTGTGCTCTATAAATGGAACAGCAAAGCCTGGATGACAGCACATCTGTTTACAACATGGTTTACTGAATATGTTAAGCCCAATGTTGAGACCTATTGCTCAGGAAAAAAGATCCTTTCAAAATATTACTGCTCAGCAATAATGCACCTCGTCACCAAGAGCTCTGATGGAGATGCACAATGAGATTAATGTTGTTTTCATGCCTGCTAACACAACAGCCATTCTGCAGCCCATGGAACAAGGGCTTTCAAGTCTTGTTATTTAAGAAATACGTTTCATAAAACTGTAGCTGCTCTATAGTGGTTCCCCTCAGGGATCTGGGCAAAGTCCATTGAAAACCTTCTGGAAAGGATCCAACATTCTAGGTGCCAGTAAGAGCATTACTGATTCATAGGATGAGGCCAAAATATCAACATTAACAGGAGCTTGGAAGAAGTTGATTCCAGCCCTCGTGGATGACTTTGAGGGGCTCAAGACTTCAGTGGAGGAAGTAAATGCAGATGTGGTGGGAACAGTGAGAGAACTAGAATTAGAATGGAGCCTGAAGAGGTGACGGAATCGCTGCAATCTCATGATCAATGAGGAGTTGCTTCTTACGGATGAGCAAAGAAAGTGGTTTCTCGAGATGGAATCTATTCCTTGTGAAGACTGTCGAAATGACAACAAAGGATTTAGACCATCACATAAGCTCAGTTGATAAAGCAGCGGTAGGGTTTGAGAGGACTGACTCCAATTTGAAAGAAGCTCTATGGTGGGTAAAACGCTGTCACACAGCATCACATGCTACAGAGAAATCATCTGTGAAAGGAAGAGTCGATCGCTATGACAAACTTCACTGTTGTCTTATTTTAAGAAATTGCGACAGCCACCCCAACCTTCAGCACCCACCACCCTGATCAGCCAGCAGCCGTTGACACTGAGTCAAGACCCTCCACTAGCAAAACGATTATGACTCGCTGAAGGCTCAGATGATGGTTAGCATTTTTTAGTAATGAAGTATTTTTTAATTAAGGTATATACATTGTTTTTTTAGACATAATGCTACTGCACACTTACTAGACTACCGTAGAATGTAAACATAACTTATATATGCGCTGGGAAACCAAAAAAGTTCCTGTGACTCGCTGAACTGCAGTGTTGTTTTGTAGTAGTTTAGAACAGAACCCACAGTATCTCCGAGGTGAGCCTGTGGACTGGATAAGGCACTGAAGGTGAAGAAAACTATCTGTGCCAAGACATGGGGCACGGAAGAGTGGTGTGTGTGGGCTCACGTGGCTGTCCACGGGTGAGGGTAGAGGCTGGCCAGACAGTCCTGCTCATCATGGGAGCAGTGCGTCCTGTTCGTAGTGGTGCTCCTGATTCCTCGAAAGAAGGGTAAATTTTGTGTGATCTGATTGATAGGATATGAAATAAGCCATTATAGTTGGCAAAGTAAAATGAGTTTGGGTTATAAACAAGGTTAAACGTTACCCAGGAAATACACAGGTGAATGTTTCCACAATACAGGATGAATACACAGCCTTACTGTTGGGAGTTTAGTAAAAAGAGCCTTTATTAAATAGCAGTCTTTTTCCTTTGTGCAAAGTATTTAGCGAGTGTCCACTGTGTGCCAGTGCCATGTGGGTTCTGGGGATGTGGCCATTAGCCAGAAGGTCATGGTCCTCACCCTCAGGAAACATTCGATCTGTCAGGATGATTGACCACAAGTATTTCTTGAAGAGGAGTCTTCTGTAGAAATGGGGAAAGGTTCTCCTGTCTGTATTCTTCCAAATTAATTTACAAAGTTCAAGGGAGATGGAAATAATCTAATCACGATGAGCCATCTTCTGCTTTATTGGAGTTAAAACGTGCCCGAAAGACTGCTCAGACAGGTCTAACTGCTGTGGTCCTCCTTGAGAGGAAGAGCCACGCACTCAGGAGGGGGGACAGGAAGGAGGACCAGCGCCCCTCGGTGCCACTGTCACTGTGCAGAGCAGCTCCCTCACTTGGTTCCATCGCTGGAGCTACAGGAACACTTCCTCTTCACTCCTGTTGAGCTTCCAAAGGAATAAACATCCAGACTTTAAAGACAGCTTGACAGTTAACAGCGGAGTTGGCGGACACATGTCCACAGTGGGAGTGGGGGGACACGTCCACAGTGGGGAACGCGTGGGGTTAGGAGTCCAAAGGCGCTGACCTGTTCTTGAAACTCGCCCTGTGCCTCTGTCCTCGCTAAACTGCACTGTTACTCTTGTCCACTGGGGGCGTGGTGGCCTCCATGACCTACGTCATGGCGTGGTTGTGAGGTTCAAATGAAACGATGGAAAAATTTTTGCAGAACCGTATAGCATATGCTGAATAAGGGATTTTCTGAAAGCTTCAGATAAATTGCTGAAGTATTTCTTTCAGGTTACTCGGTACATTCATCATAAAATTATTGGAAAACTGCATGATGCAAAGGTGATAATGGCTTTGGGAAATACAGTTTGGATTGACCCAATGGTAAGTATGCAGTTTGCTTAAAAAGAAATCTGTGTTTGAATGGGCCCCTAAATTGTCCAAATTATTCCAACCTGTGTCTTGAAAAATTGCTTCACGTAAATGGAGGCTTGTTGGGGGCTCTGGGGCCGGGAGAGGTTTTTCACGTTATTTGGGTCATGAATTTGGTTGTGGGTTTACCCTGTAACCCAGCGCTCACGGGCGTGTGTGTGTAGTGACACTCTCACACGTACAACCATGACAGACGCTCCATGAAGCTGTCCTTCCTTCTGCGACAGTCTCTCCTATTTACATTTCTGTTCTGTTCCACTCTTCACTGCTGGTGGGTGCTCTTCCGGCGACCTCACAGGCTCCGTCCACCCCGGGGGGGGGCCCTGGGTCAGTGACGGCCCTCAGCAGCACCGTGGTCCGTGTGTCTAGTTGTAAATGATCCTGAAGTCCGGGCACGTGATCTGTAATGTGGAGGATTCCAGTCCTCCGGCCTTCAAAGATGAGTAGTGTTCTGTCCAGGTTTCCACCTCCTTCATTCGCCAGCTATCTATTGAGAAGCCTCCTGTGTGCCAGGATGTGCACGGGGCACAGGCTTCCCTCCGTAAACAGACTGCTCCCTGTGGAGCTGACGAGGGGCATGAGGCCGGGACGTGGAATTAAGGGGCTCAGCGCCCCCTCTCTACTAGCACCCCAGAAACTCTTCAAGTCAAAGTTTTGCTCTGTTAGACTTAAGTCTTAATTATTATAATTATTTATAAGACTTAAAGGAACTCAGTTCATAACTGTTTGGCTGAAAGTTATTTTTGTAAGATTGGGAAAGCCTTAACACTTAAAAAGAGGTGTTTGGTTATAAGATTTAAGAGTAAGAGGAAAAAAATGATTTTTAGGAGCAAAGGGAGAGATCACCAATGCAGGTAAGTGAAGAGATTTGGGGTCTTAGCTGATGTTGTAATAGTCTGTATTGTGGTTCTTCTTTATCAGAGAAAAAATGGAAACTTTATTAAGCAGGGATTTTTGAAGCTACAGCTTAGACAGTGAAGCAAAAAGAGGAAACCCACCTCACAAGTAAGCTTTTGCAGCTCTAAAGTGGGTAGCCGTGGTGCACCAGAGCGGGGACAAACCCCACCCTTGCCACCTGCTCCACCCAGACAGCTCGGTCCCCAGTTTGAGTGGAGAGAGGCTCTTCCACCATTTCTAGATGGCAACACATTCCCAGTGTTCCCTTAGGAAGGTGCCCCAGCCAGTGCCAGCCTGGCCTGCCCTCCCCTGCCGTGGAAGGGACATCCAGGGCTGGGTCCGCACCTCCCGTCAACGGGAATCAGACTGTTGTAGATTTTCATGTTTTAGTTAATTTTACGTGAATTGAAATAGATGAGAATGTTTGGGTTGCAGAAAAGAGTAGTAGAGGAAACTGTCAGAATGCAGGATTTAGGGCCGTGGTGTAGGCCCTTTCTGGGCACCTAAGGACTCTGAGCCTTAGGATCCTCCTTGTTAAGAGAGGTAAAAATGCTCAAGTAAAAATCAGAAAGATCTAAGAATTTTGTGTGTGGTTACAGCATTACAGATTGGTCTCGTCTTGGGGTTTTATCCCAGGATTCAGTCTTGGCCGCCCCCCAGACCTGATCATATCTCCGCAGTGTGGGACTGGGCCCTGGAAGATGCTGATGGCACCTCAGTGATGAAACAGTCTGGACGCTGCAGTGGGAGGCCCTTGCACATTGCGCCATGTGCCCAAGTGCATCAGACGTTGCACAGTGGGCTGGAGAGGCCGTGGGTGAGGGTCCGTGATCCACGGAAAGTTCAAAGTGTGGGTCCTGCAAATGTTGTATTTTTTCTTTGCTTCTAGGTGCACATTACAAAGCTTTCCAATTTGAAAACTTCTGTTGTTGATTATAATGTTCGAGCTGAAATTTTGTCAATGGGAATGGGCGTTGATAATTCAGAACATATAGAACAACTGAAAAAATTATACGAAGGAGCCAAAATGCCAGCTTGTGAAGAAAGCCTGAGCCAAACCCTGTAAGTAGATTTTTATCTCCCTTTCGGAAGAGCTGTTTTGTGGAATTAGAACTCTCAAGTGTTACAGCCATCTTTTCTTGAAAGTGTAATAGTTTAATGAGTCTCCATGTTCCCATCGCTCGGCTTCAGTAATTACCAAGATTTGGGGAATCTTGTTTTATCTGAACCCCAAGCCACGCTTTTTATTGCAGCACACAGCCAGAAAGGTGCACACATCCTAAGTGTCGTTTGGTGGATGTTCTGAGCACAGCACCAGCAGAGCCACCTCCTGCTCCCTCTCCGAGGGCCGCCGCTCTCCCGACTCAGGAAAGCGTGGATGGCTCTGCCGTAGCCTGTACTTTGTTTGGTTGGAATCGCGCAGTGTGTCTGTTTTGTATCCAGCTTCTTCAGCTCAGCATTGTTGTGAAGTTCGTCCATATTTTGCATGTAGCTATAGATCATAAATTCTCATCACTGCATAATATTCCGTGCTATGAATTTACCATCATTTATTTACCCATGCTGCTGTGGATGGGAGAAATTTCCAGTTCTGGGCTGCTTCAAGTGGCACTTTAAACATTCTCCTACATGGGTTTTGGTGCATTCATGGGTGTACTTCTGACGGAATGGAATTGCTGAGTCATAATTAGAGCTACTGCCCATCAGTGTTCCAAATGGGTTGTGCCAGTTTGCCCTTCCACAAGCAGTATGCAAGGCTGTGAAAGTGCCCTGGCATGCTCCGGAGGGGAGGATGGACACGGCGTGTGTGTCCACCAGAGGACTCATATCGAGAACCCCTCCAGTCAGGAGGAAAACTGCAGATACCCAGTAGAAACCTGGGGAGAAGATTTGTACTGACACTTCACACTGTCCAGTTAATTACTTGTCCAATAATTAATATATGACAAGGTGCTCGAGCTCATTAGTCATCAGGGAAATGTGAATTAAAACCACAGTGCAATACCATTTCATGCCCACCAGAGACGGGAGAAAGAAAACACCACTGTTGGCGAGGAGGTGGAGCCACGTAAGGCCTTTATAAACTCGACTAGATGCTGTTAGTACATCTAACAAAATTAACAGTCATTTCTTAAGTTGCATGTATTTGATTATTAAAATATACATAGCAAAATTCCTCATTTTTTTCAAGTTGTGGTTAAAATATGGATAAAATCTGTCATTACAATGTTTTTGAGTATACACTTCAGTGGCAGTAAGGACACTCACAGTGTCCTATAACCACCACCACTATACACCTCCAGAACTTAGCACCATCCCCAACAGAAACTCTGTGCCCATTAAACAATGTGGGTTACCTATTAGTTTCCGTCTTCTGGGTACCTCGTATAAGTAGAATTATACAATATTTGTCCTTTTGTGTGTGGCTTATTTCACCTAGCATAATGTTTTCAGGGTGTACCCATGTTGTAGCATGTGTCAGCATTGTCAACCTTAAGAAGGTTGGCAATATTTCAGTGTGTGGATATACCACATTTTGTCTCTCCGTTCATCTGTCAGTGGACACGTGGCCATCGGGAAGAGTGCTGCTCTGGACACCGGTGTGTAAATGGCTCCCCATGTCCCTTCTTTCAGTTCTCTTGGGCGTACACCCAGAAGCGGAATTGCCGGGTCATGTGGTAATTCCGTGTTTAACTGTTTGACCTGCCAAACTGTTTTCCGCAGCCACTGCACCATTTTACACTCCCACCAGCAGTGCACAGAGGATCCCATTTTCTCCACATCCTTGCCTAGAAATCAGCCTGAGGTGACGCTGGGGTCTTCTCAGGACGTTTCTGAGCATGCATCTTGCCTGGCGTGCACGTGGCTTCCTAACCCCTGCTGGTACTCTTTTTGAATGCCCTAGTTCCCCGAGAGGTTCCCCCAGCTTCCCCGGGGCCTCAGCAGGGCTGTGGGGTGTCTCCTGGCCTGCTGCCTGCCCCCAGGTGGCCGTGGGTTTGCAGTCACCTTTTCCAGGTAGTGCTCACGCTGTGCTGCCTGAGTTCCAAGTTTTGTGGAACAGACGAGCATCTTGCATGGGTCCCTCAGCTGTCCCCCGACAGGTTAGGATGGACTTCACAGGGATTTGCCGATAGTCTTCTCTGCCCTCTCTGCCTTGAGGGGGACAGGAATCAGGCTGCTGCCTGCCCAAGACCCCAAGCCAAGGGGGGCACAGGTGAGTGACACCCCAGAACCTTCCTCTGCTTCCGAGCTGCCTTTTTCTTGCCTGGGCATTTGCCTGGTTGCTGTCCACCTTTGACTCTTTTCCAGGGATCCTGCACAGCAGGTTCAGACAGCTTCTGCTGGTTCCTTCAGTGTTTCTGTGGGGACACGGGAGCTCAGAGCCTCCTCCTCTGCCATTTTGCCCTACATGTGTCTTGGTAGCAAGATGCTGGGCTGTTTCTCCAGTTTAACTTTATGTCGGTTGATCTAATCAACAGATAAATAGTTTTAACTAAAGTTGCCATTAGGTGAAGTTGATGTTTTAAAATTCACTTACTCGGTAAATATCTGTTGATATTGATATTAAATATCTACTGGGGATGCAGTAGTGTACAAAATGGATGAAGGACCATCTCACATTTTAGTGGAGACAGACAATAAACAAACAAGTTACAAAAATACATGGTGGGCCTGCTGGTGGTCTGAGAGATGGAGCGCATTAATGCAGAAAGGAAGACAGGGTGGCCTTGGAGCTGCAAAGGTGAGGCATGAGCAGAGACACAAGAGGGGAGGCCTGACCCAGGCCTAAATCTGGGAGCAGACTCCTGCCAGCAGAGGGAAGGCCTGGTGGCTCCTTGGTTCCAGGAACAGGGGGGAAGGTACAGCGACGAGAGCAGCAAATGAGGGGGAACTTGGCTGCAGAGGTCGGAGCAGCCTGGGGCCAGGTGTCATTGGACCCTGGGGCCATCACAAGGATTGGGCTCCCACGCTAAGGGGGTGGGGCCACAGGAGGGTTTGGAGCAGGGGAATGACTCAGGAAAAGGTTCTTGGCTGCTGTGTTGAGAACAGGCTGGGGGGACAGAGGCTGTGCCAGGCATTCGGGACGGACTGACATGGCTTGCACTAGCGAGCTTTTGTGCAAGTGGTGAGCGATAGCTGGTTTCTGACTCTGTTTGTAGTGAGGGCGTGGTCTCGTGGTGCCTGTCGGCACATGCTGGGTATTGGAAGCCGGGATCCTGGATGAGAGCCCTGAAGGAGGGAGGGTCGAAAGCCTGAGCCTTGGGCTCAATGGGGGGCTGTGGGGACAGTGGAGAGGAGCCTGAGGGGGCGCGGCTGCAGTGCAGAGGGCAGCCTGGGAGAAGGGCAACCCAGGACGGCGGGGAGCGTGGCGTTGCACAGAGCAGGAGCCATGAGTGGGGCCAGTGCAGTCAAGGGGCCCAGGGAAGGAGGACTGAGAACTGACTAGTGCTGTGATCATTGGTGACCTTGAGAGATTCCTAAATTACTGCCGAAAGTAGGGGAATTTCAAAGAACGTGGCAAAAACCAAGATGTAGTCTGAATGTTTTAGTTTTCTCTTAATAAAATTGGGTACCTTTGGGATTGGGATACATGTTGGTTTTTACACACTTTCAGGAAACAAAGTTTCCTCCATATTTACTTATAAGATATTCTTTTAAAAATGAAGATGTTGTTACAGTTTGGTAGGTTTAATCAAAACAAAGATTGATCACTTACGTGAAACACGGTAACTGCTGTTGAGCCCCAGGTCTGTGCAAAGCTCTCTGCTCAGTCCCTCTGCACATGTGGCGTTGTGGTTGTGCAGGAGTATGGCACACCTGTGGTCATCAGCACAAGGTGGAGAGAAGCGCAGGGGACCATGAGAGTCCACAGCGGGAGTCTGCCTGGCAGAGACCCCATTCAGGAGGCGGGTCGGGAAGCTGTGGTGGTAGTCTGGATCAGAAGCGAGGAGAATGGCACCATTCCGTAGAGGTCGGGAAGGACGACAGATTCTGGGGACTGGAAAGACCTGGAAGCCATTGGACGTAGTGACTGACAGACGTCAGGGAGCGTGATCCAGTGACGCTGCGCCCCCGTGACGGGGAGGATGTGGCGTGGTTGACAGTCACAGGATGTTTCCCAGAGAGCTCGTTGGAGAAGAGGAGGTTGTGAGTTGGTTTGGGACATGTTAGTGTAAGGTGATTGAAGGTGCAAGCCTGGAGCTCAGGAGAGTCGGGGAGGCTCCGGTCTGCTGGGGTCCGAGGAGAGTCAGAGGTGGGTGCGTGTGTGAGGAGGAAGGAACAGAACCCCAGCAGCTGAGGGTCTGGTGAAGCAAGTCAGAGCCGTGGTGGAGGGAGGGGGTGGGCGGTGAGGCTGGTGCTGCACGGAGCTGAGGAGGACGAGGCCTGGGGAGGGGTCCCTGCCGGGTGGTTGGAACATGGGACGCCGCCCTCCACCATTTGGGGGGTGCCGTGCCACGCAGGCTTCATGCGTGTCCATCGGAAGTCCCCTCAGAGAGCCCCGTGCACACCCCGTGCCCCATGGGTGTGTGTGTATGTGTGTTCATATAGCTTTGCTCCTTTGGGCTTGAATTCTCTCTAAAAGGATGCACAAAAAGTGAATTACGTGGTCACCCGCGAGAAAGGAAATCGAGTGGCTGGGGAACAGGAGTGAGAGGAAGATTTTTCACTGTGTAGACCTTTTTATTTACTTTAAAATATTAAACCACATGAATGTGGTTACCTCCTCAAAAAAACAAAAGAAAAACACAATTTAAATGATATGAAGTAATCTCTCATTATTAAGTTCAACAAAACAAGGGGCAGAAAGTGAACTTGGTAGGTTCTCGTGTGTTGAGATGCGTGTGCGTGTGTTTTAAATAGAAAGATACAGACGGCAGGCTTTGCTCTTTTATGCAAGAATGTTTCTAGAAGCAGACCCAAACTGGCAAGAGGGTGTGTCTGGGAAGAGGGATGGAGGAACTGGGGCAGGGGGAGGGCAGGAGGGGGCTGTTGCTTCCCGCCCTTTTATCCCCTTTGAAGTGGGTAGTGGTGTACATTATTCTCAAAGTTAAATGACTTAAAGGAGACTTATTTTGGTAAACGAGTGACTGCACTTCTCTGATAATGCGCCTCGATCCCCTGCTCTGTGTCTGGTGCCAGGGCCGCTGCAGCGAGCAGAGCGGCTGCGCTGCGTGTCACCTGTGCGTGAGCCGGGAGCTGTGTGCGCTGTGGCTCGTGGTGGGAAGCACTGCACGGGCGTTTGTTGCCACCTGCCCTTCTCGTTGGGATGCCCTGTAGAGCCAGGTTTTGCCTGTCCGTCTCGGGGTTGACCTCTGCCGTTTCTCTCCAGGACGTCAGCAGAAGATGCCGCTCGGCAGCACGCACGGCAAGGGGACAGGGGCTCAGAAAGAGGTGCGGCCTGCGAGGCAAATTCAGCAGACCAGAAGCATGGTGGGTTGTTTAAAAGATGGGTAACTTCAAATCACTCATGCTGGGGAATTTTCTACTGTTTAGGCTTTCCACTTTTAGATGAATTATAGAAGTGACATAAACTGATATTACCTAACTTCCTATTTTTGCAGTTCAGCTTCCAATGGGTTTTTGGGTAACTTTTCCTTTTTGTTATTTGAGATATAATGTTCATGCAGTAAAGTGCACAGATCTTAAGTGTACAGCTCGTCAGAATCTTCTACAAATGTGTGTGTCCATTAACCACACTCAAGTCAAGCTATTGAACGTTTCCAGAACCCCAGTGGTCTCCTTCATGTACCTCCCCAACTATAACCCTTTTCATTAACCACTGCTCTGACTTGCGTCACTATTAGTTTTGCTGAATTAGAGATACGTAGTACACATTCTTGTGGCATCTTTCACTCAGCATTGCGAAATTCGTCCCGGTTATTGCAAGTAGTGGTGTGCGTTTTTATTGCTGACTTGTACTCCATGGTGTGAATATACCACAGTTTATTTATCTGTTCGCCTGTTGATAGATGTGGAGGTTTGCAGTTTTTGACTGTTGGTATTAAAAGCTGCTCTAAACATTCTTGCTCAAGTCTTCACTTTCAAATGTTTTAGATTGAGTTTAAATTGCGTTGTTTTAGAAAATATGTTCAGCAGCGGTTCCCTGTGTATGTTGCTACCTCTCCAGAAGTCGTCTGAGTGGGGTCCTAGCCGGTTAAGATGGCAGCAGAGCAGCGTCAGCATTTCTATCCTCTGGCCACTGATTGTAACACAGTTCTTTACAGAGAGTAATTTTACTTTCCTGATTAACTGTAATGTTTGTCAAAGCCTGTTTTTACTAGTTTTACTAAGTGACATGCATTTAAATTTTTTCTAATTATTCTTTGCAGTTGGATGCTTGGGTTACTGTGAAATTTATACTCTTAGTGAGTAGTTCCTCAGCTAAAAGTTGCATAAAGTACAAAAAAGTACGTACATGTACCTACATTATGGAGTTACATATAAATAACCTGTAGGAAAATGTGATTTCTTGTACAGACGCTTTACCTGAAGACACTGGAGGTGCTCCCATTAACAAAACTACAGGGCCTCTGCAGAGGTATGTCCGTCCACTGTTGGAGTGTTTTCCTTCCTTACCTGGGGAATGAATAGTGATGACTCTGTGTAAGCTGCCTTCTTTTCTTCTAGCTTCCACCCACAAATAAAGTGGTTCCAAAAAGACGATGTGGTCATATTAAAGATACGACTAAGGAATGTAAAAGATTGCAAATGCAAATATTTCAGAAATAGAGTTGTGTTCAGGTAGGTTTATGTGTATCTTAAATAAAATATAAATAATTTCTAACATTTTAAGAGGCTGACGTTCTTTCTTTTTGTAAACCTAGTGCCTGGGTGGGAGAGAAATTTTACTTGGCTGATATGGAGCTGCAGGCCAACATCATAAAAGATGATTGCAAATGCATGATCCAAAATGATGAACCTGTCATCACTCTTGCAAAGGCGAGACGGGAGTCGTGGTGTCGCTTACTCAAACAGCGGGTGAGTCGGCACGAACTGATGCTCAGCTCGCACCCTCAGTCTGTTTTATTCTCTCACCTAATGTGAACTGTTGTGTCGAACAGAATCCGAATGTGGCTTTTGACTTTGATCACTGGGAAGAATGTGAAGAGGATAGCCACTTCTCCAGGGGTAAGACCGGTGCTCCCACTCCCTGGGGAGCTGTGGGTCCTGGCTGCCGTGGGGCGGGCGTGACCTCGGGCGGCGGCCTCTGTGGAAATGGCTCGTCACGTAGAGCCCTTAGGAATTAGTCCTCTCCTTGTGGCTGATCTTGGTGCAAAACGTTCTGGTTTGAGGATGTATCAACTCTTGGTTATAAACATATTTTCTTATAACACTTTTACAGCTATTTTTCCTAGGAGAGTAATGTATTTACAAGCAGGCACATTTTACTTGCTTTATTTCTTGCCTCAAATAATGAAAATAGAAAATAAGTCATAAAATCGAGGGACTAGAACTCAAGGGACTTTTTCTTCATTGACCAAAATAACGGGGGGAAAAAAGATTTGCTAATTCGTCGATAGTTAACATATTTTTTTATAATTTCTAACTCTTTTAGTTGTAAATTCCAAAAATCTCTCTGGCAAAGTGACAGAGTGGGTGGAGAGCAGTGACGAAACTTCCCGAGATGAGGGAAGTGAGAGTGAATGAGGACACGAGTCAAAGCCTGAAGGGGCAGGCAGACTGCACCAGAGCAGATGCAGCTGGGACCCAGAGTTCGGAGACCACACAGTCCCAGTCCAGCTTCCCCACCTCACGGAGAAGTGAGGACTGAGTGTCACCTTGTGCCACTGGGGTTTGTGATGGTGAGAAGTTCTGAAGTGATTTAAAAATGGGCTCGTGGGAAGACTTTCAAAGGAGGTGGAAGCAGGGAAAAGCAGAGACACAGAAAGTACTGGTCCAGCCCAAGCCCAGCTCACACACAGTCTGTCCTGCTCGTTGCCGTTCACACGAAGCCCATCCTGACACACTCAAGCTGAGGGATAAAGAGCAGACCGTGGCATTTGGGTAATGAATTGTACTCTCTGGAGTTAGTTGTTCATTTTTTTCTTAGACCTACGTTCAGTACACTTCTAAAAACTGGTCTTGTACGTATAAATTGAGGTTTCTGTCTTACAGGTTTATACTCAGGACTGCTTAACAGCCTTTCAACCGTGAGATAGTGGGGATTCAGCATAACTGTGTGCTAATACTTTCAGTATTCTGGAAATATCGCTGGCTACTCAGAGTAAGTTCACTGCTCATGAAGACAGACGCCAAGGATAAAATGGGGTTGCCTCAGCAGTACCAGCCAGACCCAGGGCCTTCTGGTGATAAAGCTGCTGCTTCTGAAGAACCCCGAGCCTGCAGGTCCTGGGCATATGGGGCTGAAAAGGACCAGTGGGGTGCCGGGAGGTGGCCCTTGGAACCTGGATGTGATGACCCTAAGAACATTTAGGACCCCATCCTGGGGTGAGGCTGTGGCTCCCAGGTCACGAGGTTATTGGGATGAATGTGCATGGTTGTTACCACTTAAATGTGGGAATGTCCAGAACCTGACTTTTCATGCTGATTAAAAAGTTAGAAAGGTGAGCTGCTGGGAAATTTAAACCCAAAGCACTTCTTCAGCGTGAGTCTGGCAGCTTTCCTAGAAGTGGAAGAGAACGCTGCTAGAGCATGACTGTGGTGGCTGCCCCGGGAGCTTTATTCTGTTTATTCATCAGAAAGCACAGGCACCCAAGTGTGTGTACGTCCCAGTGTCAGCCCCCGCCTGAGAGGTAAACTCTGTCACCGGGCTGTCCTGTGAGCAGGTTTTGGTCACACTCTCGCTCTCAGTTTCCTCATCTGTAAAATAAGACATTCCGCTCGTTGCGCAGCCTCGTGTTGCCTCAGGGAGTGTCCCAGAATGCCACCGGGTCGGCACCTTTGTTGTACACAGAGGCTCGTGATGGGGGTGAGACCTGTGCCCTCTGGAGGGAGGACGTGGTGTCCAGCCTGGACCGCTGCTGGGAGCAAGTCCTCGCTGCTGCCGTGACTCCCGTGGGTTGACTGGCAGCTGTCAAATTGGCACATGAAGTAGAGTGGCGATTTTCCCTTGCCTTGGCTAAATTGAGCAGGCTCTTCACAGGTACGAGGTTCTGGTGGCTCTGCTGGCAAAGGTTCTGGCTCAGCAGAGCTCTTTGAGTGTCCCTCTCAGGAGGTGGTTTCTGTAGATGCAGCTTTGCTCCCTCTGCTGAGGCCTTTGTGTTGGCAGCCAGGCCTCCTGAGCCGCCCTGGCATCCCCTGGCATTCGTGGCCATGGCAGTCTACGCTCGGCTGTACGCAGTCTCTTTTGTAAAACATAGCAAATAACAATAGCGAGTAATAGAGTTGCCCAAATACGTGTTTCCATGTACAGATGGGGCCCTGCTCTCAAAGAAGACATGATGCTCGTTCTCGTGTGGCGTTCACAGCCAGCTCGACAAAAATATTGGGGCAGGAGGGCTAGGTGTTTCAATCTTGATTTCTTTTTTCAGAATTTAAATTTCTACTGTTCGAAGTTCCGAATCCTATACTGTAGGACTTGGGATGCTGACTTGTGAAATGGAAACAATTACTAACTGTTATTTTGTTCTGCTGTTAATATGTACTGATTTCGTGTTTTGGGACAATTTCTGAAATGCAAAGTAAAAGTACTTGTGTGTCTCTGCTTCTAAAATTGCTCACCTAGTCAATTGTAGCATGAAGCCTTTTGCAGTATATCAATAAAATTTCCATGTTTTCACAGAAATGTTACTTTTTACATTTTTCAGATAGTATTTTCCCTGAGTGCCAAATGCAAAATAGAATTTTATTCAGTGCCCTTTCGGGTTTGACCAAAATGCCAGTGCAGGCTGCCGTGGAGCCCGCGCTGCTCCCCCTGATGACGACGCCCCTCGTGGCCACACGGCCACACGGGCTGCGTGCGGGTAGTTCTGGACGGTCAGCCCTGCGGGGGGCCTCGACGTTCTGCCTGGGCAGCACTGCCAGGTACATCCCGGGTTAAATGGGGGGTGGCAGTACTTTCGGGAGGGGCAAGGAGGTAGTCAAACATTTGTACTTCAGTATTTAAAACATCTGTTTCGATCAGAGCAGAAGTTTCACCCATTTTACAGTGACAGATGTATACCTTGTTGATAACCGAGTTTAAAGAATGCCCTTTATTGAAGGAGGTGTGGTGAGCCCCTCGTGGAGCAGTGGCCGGCGCGGTGGTGACTCTCACCCAGCCCCTCCCTCGCCGTCGGCCTGCTGCTGGGCCATGTCTGGGCCGGCTGACTAGCAGACACCCGTCAGTGCTCCTAGTCGAACCCCCACCCAGAGAATTAAGGGCATCTGAAAATAACAGCATTATAAACATCTGAGTGCAGTGTTTTCTTAAGAAAAGCATCCGGAGGAAATAACCACAAATATTGCTTACAAAAATAAACTCATCAGAGCTTGGACGCTTTCCGGGAGGCCGAGCGTGTTACTCTGGAGCTTCCTCTGCTGGGACAACTTCCATCAGCATCTGAAGGTGCATGGTGACGGGCTCTGGGGTGAAAACCAACGAAACCGTGTGGTTAGAAGGCTGCAGTTGGCAGTGAGCTTCCCCGCTCATCGCGGGAGCGGTGACTGCTGTGCGCTTGGTGGCGCGTCCGCTAGAGCCCGCGCTCGGGGCCACCGGCGCTCACGGGCAGGCAGAACCGAACCGGCAGCCACCGTGGTTCTTTGGAGATAAGTTATTTCCCATTAAGGCATTAGGAACCTGCTAAATATTTTATTGCCACCAAACAGTTTTCTCTGCAGGAAAAATCTGAATGACTCAATTCCAGGAATATATTTAACTACCACTGACCGAGCTGACTCTCTAGTCTGAAGTCCCCGAGACTGCCTCTTGTTTAAAATATATATTGTTCATTCTTTTCACCTCCTCAATTCCAGCTTCTTAGTGGTTTTTGTAGGGAGGAGCTTGGCTAACTACTCTAAAGCTGAGAAATAAGACACGTTCTGTACCGTTAGGTTGTAAGGCCTCCTGCCTGGATTCTCTCAGTCTGATCAAATCCAGGTTCGTTTCAGAGGCATGGGAAACTGGCTGTTTTTCTTAGAGTCCTACGTTCCTTCCTTGCTATAGTGGTGTCTGCAGCCCCTCTCTCAGCTTAGGGTTTGGATCAGAGTGAAGAGTTTAGGGGTTGGAGAAAGGAGACAAGTCCTTGTGGAAATAATAAAGCCATATTTTGTTTTTGCTTTCACTTTGTTAATCAACATGAAACACATTCTGTCTTGCTTAAAACCCCATGGTCAGGTAAGTGGTGGGACGAGATTTCACAGATGAGGAAATGGAGGCTGAGGGGGGGGTCTGAACTCGCCAGGCTAGAGAGAGGCGTTCCCGGGCCCCGCTGGCCCGTCTCAGTCACGGTCAACTTCACTGCCTTCCAGTTGGGTTTTGTGCTTTCATGCCTTGTGAGATTCCCTAACTTGTATGTATGTAAATGAAAAGCACACAGGAGGGCCTGAAGGGATGGCCGTCCTGCCCTGCGCAGACGAGCTGGAGGAGAAGGGACGAGGCGGCTTTTTTTTTTTTTTCGGTGCCCGACATGGTTTTGCAATTTATTCCATTGCCACGTGCAGTTCCAGCTCGTTCATTCATTTTTCACTGCTGTGTGAAGACTCTGCTGTGTGACTATATAACAATGCATTTATCTGGTGGATGGACATGCTGGGTGTTTCTGGGTTTTGCTGTTAGAAACAGTGCTCGATGAACACACATGTACGAGTTTCTCTAGGGCAGTGAGTTCAAACTCTCGATCACAACCCACAGTAAGAAATACAGATCACGCTGGGTGCTAGAGCTCATGCACATGTAAATGTCAAACAAAAGTGTCACAAAATAATACGGATCCCTCCCATCTGCGACACACTGCTATTTTCTATTCTATGCCGTTAAAACAAAAATACTGTTGAGACCCAATAAATCGATGTCAGAACTTGTATCTCCCCCAGAGTCAGAAAAACACCTCCCTGGGGAATGAGCCTAGGAGAGGATGCAGGGGGTATGTACTTGGGGGGAGGGGATGACAAGGGACTGAGGCTGGAGACTCGGGCGACAGCATACTCGGCAAAGGGCTCAGACTTGATCCCAAGGGTGCTGGGGAGCTGCGCAGGGGACAGACTGGGTACGTACCACTTTGAGAGCCATTTGGCCACCATTCACACTGAGAGTCTTGCCGTCCAAAGTTTCCCCCCAGGCCTGTGGACACTCTGTGTCCTCGGCTGGGAACACTCTTCCCTCCTCTTTGGACGGCTGTCCCTTCTCACACTTCTGGTTTCGGCTCTAATGGCACTTCCTTTAAGAAGCCTTGCTTGATCCCCCTCTGCCACCTGGGCTGGGTGGGCCACTTTCCCTGGCTCCCCACAACCCCCTGTGCCTCCCTGATCACTGCCTGCTCTGGCCTGGGCCTCCCCATCATGGGCCTAACGCCTCTAGGTCATCACTGTCTGGTCACGGGTCCCCCTGTTGGACAGGGAACTCAGAAGGCGAGGATCAGAGATGTCTTGTCATCGCTGTCAAGAGGCAGACAGTGGGTGCTTGGTGCGCTCTGGTGGCTGGAGGCATCATAGAGGAAGTTGGCCCAGTTGGGGTCCGTCTGCATGAATCAGAACTCAAACAGCTCCCGCAGACACAGCCTCAGGAGCTGGAAGCAAATCTGGTTCTGGATGTCCTGGCTCAGGCCCTGGCACTGGTCCAGGGGCACCCCTCCGGCCAGCTCCATGCCCAGCACCCGCGTCGTGCACAGCTTCTTAATCACAGCCGGCACCCGGAAGAAGGGGTCATCCGCCAACAGCTGCCTGAAGTTCTGGGCACAAGCCGCTTCCTGCTGCAAGGTCTGCAGGGCCACGCCCATCTTGAGCACCGCCAGCAGGTTCTGCACATTGCTCTGAATGCTCTGGGCAACGCCTGGGTACTGGATCTTCATGGCAACCTCTGTCCCGTCCCTCAGCAGGCCCTGGTGCACCTGCCCAATTGAGACAGCAGCAAAGGGCACCTCCTCCAAAAAGGCCACCTTGGCCTGCCAGTCTGTGCCGAGCTCCTCCTCGAGAACTCTCAGCATCTGCCAGCGGGGCATGAAGTCGGCGCTCTGGCAGACCCGCTCGGAGATGCGCTGCAGCTGGGGGCTGATGAAGCTGTTGTCCTGGATGCTGAGCATTTGGCCAACCTTGAGGGCGGCCCCTCGAACTGTACACAAGGTCTGCACAACCCGCTCGGCGTTGGCCTCCGACAGCAACGGGCTGGAGCCTGGCCGGGAGCTGCCTTCTGATTGTCGATGTCCTCCTGGCAGGGACTTCTTAGCCACCTCAGCCAGCGCTCCCAGTCCCAAGCCCACAGCCAGTCCCCCAAAGTTGGCCAAGCGGCTGATGCGGGAGGCGGGCACCTTGCGTTCTCCAGAGCGGTCACTCAGCTGGGGCCGGGGTGTCTTCCTGATCTGGGCCTCCCGTGCCCGGCGGATGTCTTCCTCACCCACACCTCTGCCGGGCCCATCCTGATGAAGCTTTTGGGCCCAAGAACCCCCACATGGCCCCCACCAGTGGGGCCCAGGCCTCGGGGCCCCACAAGGCAGACCACCAGTCCGACCCAGCTGTCCACAGGTCCCCCGCAGGAGGCCCCCTACCTCCAGCCACATTGCCTCTTCGCTTTTCTGGGAGCCCCCCCGCCCCGTTGCTAGGCACCCACAATTCCTCCCGTGTGCCCCTGACCCGGTTACTGGGCACTTCCCCCCGTTGCTAAGCACCCACTCAAGAGGCGGCTTTTTAATCACAGTTACTCAATAAATAGGGCTGTTGTATGGATCCAGGATTAAATTGTGCACAGGCCCAATTCCCGCCTTCCAGGGACTCAGCCGGGGAGAGGGAGATGAGCAGACAGGCTGCCGGCCGGCCTGGTGAGGGTGCCCAGGGCCTGGAAGGCCTGTGTCAGCGGAGTTTCCCGCAGTTACTGTGAAGTGCGGGGTAATGCCTTGTGAATGCTGTGCAGACACAGGCGCTTCGGGGACCCTTGATGTACTTTGGCACCACTGCTTGCTTTTTCAAAGCAAAATTGGCTAACGTAGCTAAACTTTTAAGCAACAATTGTCCCAAAATAGATGAGGAACCAGGATTGCTGAGTGGAAACCAAGAGTTGTGGCCTTGGCACCAGAAGGCTCAGGCTTCATCCCAGCTCAGTCAGCTTTCGGTGTGTCTCTGGGATGCCACGGAGCCGCTCATATGACGTCTGTGCATCAGGCAAAAGAAAGTGGCGCTCTGAAGATCAGATGCACAGGGATGTGAATACGCTCATCACCACTGAGCTGTATGTCTAAACATGGTTAAGATGGCAAATTTTATGTGTATTTTACAATAAGAAAAGAAAACGGTGCTTTCCCTTCCTACCGGTTACAGAAATTGATGGGAACAAAGGAGGAGGCCACATTTGGCCCCCAGAGGTGTCACACAGAGGGGAAGGGGGCATCTGTCCTCCTGAAGAGAAGGTGAAACTTGTTAGCTGCGTGAGACCCTGTGAGAAGAATGTCTTAGCAGAGTCAGGACGGATGAGGTGGCAGGATGCCATGTGTGGCCACGCTTGACTAACAGCACGACGGTCCCCCTGTGGATACTTACTCGAGATTTTCTGAGCCCATCCAAACTTAAAGTAGACAAAAAGGAAGTAAAATATGAGGCCGCTCAGCATGAATAACACACAGTAGAGATACTCCCACGCGGGTTGGCTGATGATCGGGGCCAAGACCAGAAACACAGAGACGAGAGTCACAAAGACAGGGATGATGATGGGCACCTGGGGGAAAACAGTGTGGGGTCGTGATTCGGCCATGTGCATTTCTTTTAGAGCATTTTCATTCAAAACCCAACACTGATAAGAAAGACGTAATGAACTCCGTGTGTCCCTCCTCCAATCTCAATGGTGTTTAAGTAATTTTACCAATCTTATTTCATCTACTCTTTTTCTTTTCCCTAGAATATAAGGAAAACGCCAGACATCGTGTCATTTTACCTGTAAGATATGCAGCGTACATCTCTAAGTGGTGAGGACTTGATGTCTTTAACATGTTTATCCCCTCCCCTCTTTTTCGTCTTGTTGATTCGTTGTAGGAATTGGATGATTTGTGCTACACCCTCGCGCGGCATGACAACACCTTGGGCAATGTGCAACAATGGTCCCAGAAGATGAGTGCCATACAGCCTAGGTGTGTGGTAGGCTGTACCATCTAGGTTTGTGTTGGTACACTCTGTGATGTTCACACAACGATGAAATCACCTAACAACGCGTGTCTCAGAATGTGTCCCGTCGTTAAGTGGCGCGTGACTGTCTGAACTCTTCGTTCTAGTTTTGCCTGGTAACTTGCTCCTCTCTCCCTCACATGTCCTGTAAGTGGGTAGTTAGGTCTGAGGGCAACAATGCTTCCAAGTTGGAACAGAGCGCTTCCTTTTGTAACACACCAAGAGGCCCTTCATGAACGTCGGACTGTCAGTGGGTTCCGGGGCAGGGGAGGCAGGCAGTCCCACCAGATCTGGAGTCTGCGTTTCTCCAGGGAGCTGTTGCCTTTCATTCGGAAATGGCATTCAGAACCCACAATCTGGGTGATAGAGGACTCGTTGTTCTTTTACAAGGACAGCGATAAAATAATTTTTTTCAAGAAGGAAAAAAAATTATGAATTCATGCTGATATTTCTGATTCAACTATAAGATAGCACTTTTTCCCTTCCTTTACTTTAGGCTTATGTCTTTTTTCCTTATGCTTCTGAAAATCTAGCTTTCTAATGGCTTTAACATAATTACTTATTTGCTTTACCTACAACGTGCCTATGACAAATGTGAAAGTCACTCCCGCAATGCCACTGCTGCAGTAGCAATGTGAACTTGAACATTTAACTGCAGAATATAATCCACAGGGAGAGTCATTCAAAACACTGCACTTCAATCAGCAATTAGTTCCAGCAATGATTTTTTCCGTGTGGTCATGTCATCTACTTGTTATGGAGTAAAGTTTCTTTATCTCCATTTGTTTCCAGTTTTTAAGGATTCATTTTTTCCCTTTTATATTTTATTTTTTTACTATTATAATGTTAAACTTTTTTCTTGCTTTTTTTTCTTTCATTTTTTTTTTTTAAGCTTCTTTTTTATTTCTGCTATCAGTCCTTCTCTCTCTCTCTTTTTTGCTGGGAAAGATTTGCTCTGAGCTAACACCTGTTGCCAGTCTTCCTGGTTTTTCCCCCTCCCCAAAGCTCCAGTACATAGCTGTATATTCTAGTTGTAAGCCATTATAATTCTTCTATGTGTGCTGCCACCACAGCGTGGCTACTGACAGACAAGTGGTGTGGTTCTGTGCCTGGGAACTGACCTGGGCCGCTGAAGTGGAGCACACCAAACTTTTAACCACAAGGCCATCAGGGCTGGCTCCATTATTTCTTTTTGACAAAAACAAACACATATATGCATAAGCATAAATATTTATGTTCACTTCCACTACCTCATATAAAAGATAGCAAACACCTAGAAGATAGTTTTACACCTTGCTTTTTTCCTTTAATATATTCTAGAGATAATGCCATAGTAGTATATAAAATTCTCATTCATCCTTTTTGCATACCACTCTACATGTGGATATACCAAAATTTATTCAACCAGTCTCCCATTAATTGACATTCGGGTTGTATTGAATCTTTTGCTATTACAAGTAATGCTGCAATAAATAACCTTGTCTGTATTTCGTATTTTTGCCAATTTCACTTTGGGATAGATTACCTCAAAATGGGATGGTTGGGTCAAAAGGTAAATGTACATATAAGTTTGCTAGATAGTGCCAACTTGCCCTCCATAGTGGTGATGCCACCTGTATTCCCTGAGCAGTGTCAGAGAGGGCTGTTTCTATGGCCTCACCATGGAGTGTGGCCAAACTTTGGGATCTCTGCTCATCTGATAGGCAAGACATGGTATTGCATTAGACTTCTGCTATGCATGCTCTTGTCAGGAGCAAAATTGAGCTCGTGGGCTCATTTCCTTCATTTTTAAGTGTCATTGCATTTTTTCTTTGAACTTTTTATATCTTTGTCCATGTCAGGTGTTGGTAATTCTTATCTCAATTTTTGGGAACGCTTTAAGGATATCAGCCCTTTTTTGTGATGTTATTGCAAATATTCTCCTCATGTTATGTATGTGTTTTTAACTTCCTTCTCTTTTTTTTCAATGCATAAATTTTTATTTTGTTTGGGTTGTGTTTGTCCATTTTTCTCATTATTACTCCTGGATTTTGAGTCATAGGAAAGGTTTTCCCATTCTTGGACTACAAAGCAGTTTATGTTTTCTAAAAATCAGATAATTCACTGAACCTTAAGTTCTTTCTTCTGCATACATTAATTCCTTCTCTGTGCTTAGTTTCTTTGTTCTTTTTCTTGCTTTTGAGTTGCCTATTTAATCGGTCGTCATGTTTATTCATATAAGTATTTAAGGCAGTGTGACTTCCTCCAAGCCTCAATCATAGATCATGTCTTGTTTTCATTATTATGTTTAGGAATTTATGTATTTTCATTTCCTATTTCCTCTTGGACCAAAAAGTTTAATTTTTTAAAGTAATTTCTTGTTTCATTAGAGACAGAGAATGTAGTTTGCATTATTTCTAGTTTTTTTAATCAAGGTTTTCCTTGTGGCATTAAGGACTGTCAGTTTTCAGACATGTCCCATAGGCACTTGTTTGCTATTCTGGGGTTCAGAGTTTGGTATAAATTTCTAAGATCTACCTTGTTAGTTTTCACATCTCCTGTCACTTTAGTGACATTGCTGGATCTGTCTTGGGCTGAGGGAGGTGTTTTAAATCCTCCTGTTGGCGTGTGTGTGAAATCCTTGGATTTCCTGTAATTTCTGCTTCGTAAAGATGATGTGTGTGGTTTGGTGAAAGATTTCCATAACTGTTAGCTCTTGGTTGTCAAGTTTAGCTGTTAACATTACTAAATGGTCTTTGTGCCTTGGGCCTGAGTGCTTCTCTGATAAAATCACAACCTATGTTTTGTGTATTTTCATTTGCCTGCTATTTCTTTGACTATCTGTTTATTTTTAATTTTTCACAGCTTTGTCAACCTGCCTAAGAAATCTTTTAATGGCTGATTTAGGCCCATTTAAACTGAATAAGCCAGTTTCTTCATACAGCTGGTAAGTCTCCGTTCTCTCAGGCTGTGTTATGGTTCTGTATACAAGCATCTTCTACTTACTGTCAGTCTCCGCCCTTCAGAGTGACGTCCTATGGGAAAACTCTCACCAGGGACCTATTTCCATTATTTTAAATGGCAAAAATTATCAGGTATCATATGAAGTCCCAAATTCCCAATTGTCCTCAGGTATAACTAAAACACAGTAGATGCATATATATACCCAACGTGTATTCCACCAGGAAGTAAACCGCTCTTACAGTGATGTCCTGGGGACCAGTCAGCGAGTCTGGTTGTTAACACGTGCCTCCCTTTGTTGCAATAATGTCTTGCAGCATCTGAGACACACATGCCTCATGCTTTTCAAGATGCCGGCCCGTGATTCTTACTTGGGTTGGGTTTGGAATGCAATTTGAAACTTCTCACTCATGTAGTATAGGATCTTTACCATATGGTCTCTTTTATGTGTGTGTCTCTATTATTTTTTGATATATCTTTTAGTGTCTATAAATTCTGTGTATTTATTCCAAGAGTTACTATTATAAATAATAGATATAATACTTTAGTCTCTTTTTTTAAATATATTGTCTATAATCAGTAATGAAATTAGCTAGGAATTCTTCTTTTCTTTTCCCCCAGCGTCTACTTTTAAATGGTATCCTAAGGCAGTTTCTCTGGCATGCTTTCACATGCTTTCTCCTCCATCTTTGTTGTATTATATTGTCAGCGCTTAACATTTACATACTCTTCCGTTTTCTTTATCTCCCATCCTTTAGTCTTAGTTATTGACAGTTAAATCTCTTCACCATCTGCCAGTGACTTTGTGGTTTCTGAAGCTCCTTCTCTAGGCGTCTCCTCAGGAAGTTCTCATGTAACGAGACGTGCCTTCACTCTGTTCCTGTTGCTAACTTTATTCTTAAGGTCAGTTTGGATATAACAGCCGTGCCTTACATTTTCTTTCTTTGATTCCCTTCAATGTGTTCCTCCACTGTCTTCATATGGTGTGAAGTGTTACTGATGGGAACTCAGATGCGTATATTATTTTCTTTCCTTTATAAGTGAACTGGGGTCAGAGAGAGGACAGGAAGGGGAGAGTGGATACCCAAAGCAATTTTTTTAAAAGCTCCATAACTTTATCAGAATATATTTCTTTGTAGCTCAGATTCCCCAGTTCCAGTGTATGCCTTTTAGTATGTTGGCTCAAGTCCCCCCTCCTTTCATGGTCTCCCCTCTCACTTCCCTCCTTCCTCAGGAAATGTTTCTTGAATTATAGTTCTTAAGAATCCTGTTACGGGGCTGGCCCCATGGCCAAGTGGTTAAGTTCGCACGCTCCACTTTGGCAGCCCAGGGCTTCACCAGTTCAGATCCTGGGCGCGGACCTACCACTGCTCATCAAGCCATGCTGAGGCGGCGTCCCACATAGCAGAGCTAGAAGGACCTACAACTAGAATATACAACTATGCACTGGGGAGCTTTAGGGAGAAGAAGAAAAAGAAGAAAAGATTGGCAACAGGTGTTAGTTCAGGGCCAATCTTTAAAAAAAAAAGAATCCTGTTACTTTCATTTTCTTCTTCAGGGACTCCAATTGCACACATGTTAGATTTTTTTTTTCCCTGTCTCCTTAGTTATTTTCTCTCAACTCTCTTTATTTCTGTTTGAGGGATTTTGTGCCAATTCAAAATATGAGCTTTTATCAAAAATCATGATTTTGCCTGCTGATGACCTGATTGAGGTGGAACTGCCTGATTCCGAGCAGGCTGCTTCATGCCTCAGCTGACCCCAGAGACTGGGTGATGGCCAAGATACAGTGCCAGAAAGACCATGAGGCAGACCACTGGAACAGCATCCTACAGCCACAGACATTGTCCTTATTCTTGTCCTAGTGACTTAAGCCCTCAGCTTGCCTGCCTTTTTCTTAAATCTACACTTGTTTTTATCATAAGAATTAAACAGCACAGTTGTTTTATCAACAAAAAGCAAAAAAAGCCCCTAACATAAGCAGAACAAAATCAATTATTCTTCCTCAGTGGTATATAGATCCACACCAGCCAAGCAGGGAGGCGCAGGGAGCCCCAAGCAGACTGAAAGTGTGGACTATTAGGAGTTGGATGCACAGGAACGGGTCTGGGGCCAGAATTCAGAAGTCCCCGTCAGTCTATGGAAAGTGTGTGCGTGGGAGATGCTGGAAGTGGCAGAACTGGGCATCTTGCTTTGGTTAGAGAGATGGGTCACAGGTATTCTTGATAACTTAATTAATAGTTAGATGGCTAATTGGATTGTAAACTCTAATATGAGATGAATTGAAGAGGACACCCCACTCTAAAACATGATACTCAAGAATAGGGTCAGGTTGGAAACAGAAAGCATGCCCTTAGAATTTAAAATAGTTACCTCTGTCTAATTCATTTCAAGAAATCAAAGCCACTTGTGGTGTTTGGGGCACTAAACCTACCTTGATAGGCCTTTCCAGTTCTTTCCTCGTGAACCTCATCACAATCAGTGCCAGAATCGTCAGGCCATAAAACAGCCATGCGGCAAAGCTGAAGTAATTGACTAATGAGTTTATGTCACCAGGAATGATGTAAATAGTCGCTATGATCCCCTGGTAGAAAGAAGAATGAATGCTTAGGTCATTAGTACATAAAAACATTACCCTTATCGCTTCACAGAAGTCTGAGGAAGCAGTTTTCCCTGTGGATAAACACTTTAGCAAGAAAGAAACCTCATATGTAGCCCATTATATTTGGGTTTGAACCCTGCCTTGGCTATGGTAGGTATTCTCTTTGAGGCCTGATGGACAGACTTGGAAAAATTTGTGACTCTTTGAAGCTGGGATTTTAAGCAGGAGAAGAACAAAATATGTGTGTATATTGCGCTAACTTCGTAAGTATGACTTTTCCTTCCAGAGAGTTTTCATCATGGGAAAGGGCCCTGGACTGTGAAACTCAGGCTGTCCAGGTCTGGTCTTGACCTGTATTAGCTGCATGGCCTTGGACTTGTAATTTTAAGGGCCTTGCAATTCTGGGTCTGCTTCCTCATCTTCAAAGGGAGTAGGTTGACAGAGAGCAGTGGTTCTCCTCTGGGGTGGGAGGAGGAGTCTGGCTCAGAATCTAGAGCGTGGATGGTCACAGGTGCCCAAGACAGTTGCACACAATCAAGGACTCTCCCCCCACTGAGAAACTCCAATTAGAAGATGTCAAAGGGCCTTCACTGCACAAGGATCCCATGACTTCTAAATTATTGGACCATAACGAGAAGCTCTTGTCAGTAGCCACCTGGTAATAAGCCTTGTTGACCTGCCCCATAAGCTGGTGGGTTTTTATATAGTTGTTCCCAGGGACTGAGAACACACAGATGTACGTGTCAGAAGTGTAGAGGGTACAAGCTTGGAAGACTCAGTGTCTTCACAGATCCATTCAGAACAAGGAGCAGAGGTTGGGTAAACTGTTTGAATTGTCTTGGGCCACTTTATATACCTGTGTCATGTCGAGGACTAAGGGAACCGGGGTCATGCCTAGCAATACAAGTTTACTTCTCCATCCAAACTGAGGGCCCCTCAGCCTGGGAGGGGGTGTTTTTATGGCGGAATTCCTACTTACATAAAAGATGATAGCAGGGGCTGGAGTCAGGCGCCGGACGCTAATGTAAGAGAGCACTTTCATCATGTGGCCTTCCCGGCCAGCAACGTAAACGAGCCTGGAAAAGCAGTGAAACAGAAGTCAGTCAACGAGCGAGCAGGCTGCAGCGCCATCACGGAGCCAGTGTGTCCTCAGCTTCACGAGGAGGGCCGCAGACAAAGAGACCAAGTTGGGACCCTGGCGTCTCCAGTAGGAGTCCAGCCTCTGGAGGGGAGTGAGTTTTGGAGAAGTGAGGAGGTGAATCGCATCCGAGAGGAATGCATCCTGGTGCCGAGGAGTCACCTAAGTCGGGGAGACGGTGGGGATGGTTTGGGGAGGCCCTTTCTAGGAGCAGGTAGCTATCTGAGTCCTAAAAGTTATGCAGGAAACAAATGTGAAACCTAGTCCAGGGCCAGTGGACCCGGTGCTTGGAGCACCTGAGAGAAGCAGACACAGAGTGCCGGCACTTGTAAATCCAAGCTGTACACAACTTCCATATTTTTGAAAAATCAGACAAATTAAGGGCGAGTCAGCAGGTGCAAGCTTAGTTCCCCCAAGAACTCCTGAAGATTCAGTCGTCTGAAAGACTTCAACATGTTAGAAAAAGGGAAGAGGAGTGAAACAATTTCTAAAAAAGTAAAAATGTAGTTAAAAATATAATCGACAGCAATCAAAGACCCTGACTAGCTAAGCAATCCTGAGAAAAAAGAACAAAGCTGGAGGCATCCCAATCCCTGACTTCAAAATATACTGCAAAACTACAGTAATCGAAACAGCATGGAACTGGTACAAAAACAGACACATAAATCAATGGAGCAGAATTGAAAGCCCAGAAATAAAACCACACATCTACAGACAGCTAATCTTTGACAAAGGAGCTGAGAACAGTGGAGAATGGAGAACAATACAATGGAGAAAGGAAAGTCTCTTCAATAAATGGTGTTGGGAGAATTGGACAGCCACATGCAAAAGAATCAAAGTAGACCATTATCTTTCACCAAACACAAAAATTAACTCAAAATGGTTCAAAGACTTGAAGGTAAGACCTGAAACCATAAAACTTGTAGAAGAAAATGTAGGCAGTACACTCCTTGACATCAGTCTTAGAAAGATCTTTTTGAATACCAAGTCTAGTCGGGCAAGGGAAACAAAAGAAAAAACAAACAAGTGGGACTTCATCACTCTAAAGAGCTTCTGCAAGGCAAAGGAAACCAGGAACAAAATAAAAAGACAACCCAAGGGGCTGGCCTGGTGGTGCAGCCGTTAAGTGCGCACATTCTGCTTCAGCAGCCCAGGGTTCACCAGTTTGGATCCCGGGTGCAGATATGGCACTGTGTGGCAAGCCATGGTGTGGTAGGCGTCCCACATATAAAGTAGAGGAAAATGGGCACGGACGTTAGCTCAGGGCCAGTGTTCCTCAGCAAAAAGAGGAGGATTGGCAGGTGTTAGCTCAGGGCTAATCTTCCTCGGGAAAAAAAAAAGACAACCCACCATCTGGGAGAAAGTATTGGCAAATTGTATATATGACAAGGGGTTAATCTCCGAAATATATAAAGAACTCACACAACTCAGCAACAAAAAAACAACCCAATCAAAAAGTGGGCAGAGGATATGAACAGATATTTTTCCAAAGAACATATACAGATGACCAACAGACACATGAAAAGTTGTTCAACAACACTAATCATCAGGGAAATGCAAATCAAAACTACACAAAGATACACCTTACACCCATTAGAATGGCTATAATCACCAAGACAAAAACTAACAAATGTTGGAGAGGATGTGGAGTAAAGGGAACCCTCATCCACTACTGGTGGGAATGGAGCCACTATGGAAGGCAGTATGGAGATTCCTCAGAAAATTAAAAATAGAAATGCCGTATGATCCAACCATCCCACTACTGGGTATTTATCCAAAGAACTTGAAATCAGCAATTCAGAGAGACTCATGCACCCCTATGTTCATCACAGCATTATTCACAATAGCCAAGACATGGAAGCAATCCAAGTGCCCATCGACCAATGATTGATAAAGAAGATGTGGTATATTTATACAATGGAATACTACTCGGCCAGAAAAAAGACAAAATCATCCCATTCGCAACAGTATGGATGGACCTTGAGGGTGTTATGTTAAGCAAAATAAGGCAGACAGAGAAAGACAAACACCATAGGATTTCACTCATGTGGAAGATAAACAAACACACAGACAAAGAGAACAGATTAGTGGTTACCAGAGGGGAAGGGGTTGGGGGGTGGACACAGGGGTGAAGAGACACATTTATATGGTGACTGATAAATAACAACGTACAACTGAAATTTTACAACATTATAAACTATTATGACCTCAATAAAATTTTTTAAAAATTAACATAGATAACTTAGATACAAGTGAAAAAAATAGAAGCTAGCTCTGAGAAGGAAGCATAGAGAAATGGAAAATGTAGACAGTAAAGTAAGAAAGAGGAAGAAGCTCAAACACATTGAATGGGGGTAATGCAAATTCGGAGAAGAGCGGAGAGCTTTTATAGAATTGAAAACACGCAGCCTGCCATTGAGCCCAGTTCTAGACAAGTAAAAACATACCCTGATCTGAACATTATAGTGTAAGGCAAAAAGGAAGATTTGAAAATCTACTGAATTTAAAAGATTAACTACAAAATGAGAACAAACAGAATAGCAGACATGTCAGAAATAATATTTTCAAAGTGATGAGGAAAATTCATTTTCAGATTAGAATTCTGTGTAGCTAAACTATCATTCAAGACTACTGGCAAAATAAATACATTTTTAGATAAACAATGACTATGAGACATTTACAATTCTCCAGTCCTCCTTGGAAACTATTAAAAAGTCTAGCCCAGCAACAACGACAAAACTGAACTCAGGAGTTGATTGAAGAAGCAATGTTAAGGAAACAGCAATCAAACACGTTGCTGTGTATATATGTATTGTATTTTTTGTTTGTTTTGGTGAGGAAGATTGGCCCCAAGCTAACGTCCATTGCCAGTCTTCCTCTTTTTGCTTGAGGAAGATTGTCGCTGAGCTAACATCTATGCCAGTCTTCCTCTAGTTTGTATGTGGGATGCCACCACAGCATGGCTCGATGAGCGGTGTGTAGGTCCACACCCAGGATGTGAACCTGCAAACCCTGGGCTGCCGAAATGGAGCACACAAACTTAACCACTATGCCACCAGGCCAGCCCGTATATTGGATTTTTTATTTTTGTCATGATGAACTTTTCCTTGCAGGGGTGGGTTTATAAACAAAGTGTAGCTGATACACTGGACGATGTGAAAGGGAGAGTCCTTGTAGGCAAGGGAAGAGAACTGAGATACTGACAGACTCTGTTAGGTATTTGTGTTAAATTTTAAGGGTAATTGCTAAAATAATAGAAACATAACTTCCAGATGAGCAGAAGAAAGAAAGGAATCAAGGAAATATGATGGATAATAAAGCAGGATAAGATTTTTTTAAACCAAGAAAACACAAAGGAATGTGTTAGGACTTAATCCAGCTACAGCAGTAAACACATTGATAGATTCAGCTTGCCTGGCTAGAGACTCTTGGGTTGGGTTTGTTGAAAGAGACACAAACCAAAACCAGATGATGCTGAGAGGCTGAAGATGAAAGGAGGGGACATGTCACCAAAAATAGCAGCCCAGAGACAGCTGATTCAGCAAAATCAATATCAGACAAAATAGAATTCAAGGCAAAAAGAGGGAGAGTTTCTACTGAAAAGGAGCACGGTCTACCAAGAAGATATAAAAAATGGGGGCCCTTGATGGGGCTGGCCCCGTGGCCGAGTGGTTAAGCTCGCGTGCTCCGCTGCAGGTGGCCCAGTGTTTCGTTGGTTCGAATCCTGGGCGCGGACATGGCACTGCTCATCAAACCACGCTGAGGCAGCGTCCCACATGCCACAGCTAGAAGAACCCACAACGAAGAATATACAACTATGTACCGGGGGACTTTGGGAAGAAAAAGGAAAAAAATAAAATCTTTAAAAAAAAATGGGGGCCCTTGAAACATAGAAGGCAAAAATGGACAAAGCCACTGAGAGCAGAAGATTTGAACAGTCAAGGTACAAGCCTGACGATGATACAAACTAGTCGAGGGGCTGGCCCGGTGGTGCAGTGGTGGAGTTCCCACATTCTGCTTTGGCGGCCCGGGGTTTGCCGGTTCAGATCCCAGGTGCAGACATGGCACCGCTTGGCAAGCCATGCTGTGGTAGGCGTCCCACGTATAAAGTAGAGGAAGATGGGCACGGATGTTAGCTCAGGGCCAGTCTTCCTCAGCAAAAAGAGGAGGATTGGCAGCGGATGTTAGCTCAGGGCTAATCTTCCTCAAAAAAAAAACAAAACAAAACTAGTTGACATTAATACACATTATTTTCAAGACCACAGGAAACATTTATAACAACGACAGCAAGCCACAAGGGAAGTCTTTAAACTTCTAAAGAAGTGATGTCATAAAGATCATACACTCTGATTGCAATACAGTAAAATTAGAAGTCAGGAACATAAAGGCCAAAAAGGCCTATCTGTTTGAAACTACATGTTTGCACTTTGAAAAGACAAACACGGTATTAAGTTAATTCCCAGAACAAGTCAGTGGAGCTGGGAAGTAAGGAGATGGAGGGAGACAGACTCAGGATGACATTGTGAATTCACGCTTTAAATTCTACCAGTTCTCCACAAATTACTATATAAATTCCATGCAATTAAAATGCAAGCCGGACTTTGGGAACTGGACAAAATTATGGTAAGTGCCTCTGGAATGCAAGACAGAGAGGGAGCAGTCCCCCAGGGGAGCACCACTTCTCCTAGACTTCGTGTCGCTGAGGCCGTCAACTGTTTACTGAGGATGATGACAGCACAGGAAGACACCTCTCAGTGGAACGAAGGGAGCCAAGCACATTGGGAATGTTAAGGGTGGCATTTCAAACCAGTAGGGCAAAGGCTGGATTACTTAGTAAATACTATTGGGACGACATGGTAAAGGTTTGGGGAAAAGAGTGAGATTTATGCCTCACCTCAAAATACATTCCAGATTATCAAAGAGCTAAAGTGAAATGTAGACGAAAACATAGGTGGGTATTCTTGAAAGGGGAGAGGAAGGTTTGTCTATGGGAGATAGAAAACTCAGAAACCAGTACTCAGAAATCTGGGATTTGACCCCATAAAAATTATATCCAACGTAAGTCAATATAGCACAAGTCCCTGTCTGACCCCCAAGCCGCACAGGTGCAGAACTATACAAAATTAACTCACGATGGCTCATATGCCTAAACCTAAGAGCCACACCTATAAAAGTAGGATAAAACAGAAGAGAAAGCTTTGTGACCTTGGCTTGGGCAAAGGTTCTTATGACAACAAAAGCACGACACATGAAAAAAATGGATAAACTGGACTTTGTCGAAGTTAGAAACATTGGTGTTTCAAACACAACATTGGGAAAATGAGAAGACAAGCCACAGACTGGGAGAAAATATGTGCACATCAGATACCTGATAAAAGACTTGTGTCCAGAGTATACGAAGAACCCTTACAGCTTAGTAATAAGATGACAAACAGCCCGGTTTTAAAAATGGGCAAAAGATGTGAACAGATGTTTCACCAGAAGACACATGAATGGCTAAAAAGCACACAAAAAGATGCTCAGTATCATTAGTCATTAGGTAAATGCGGATTAAATCCACAGTGACATACTAATACCCAGTAGAATAATCAACAATCAAACAAAATTGTCTTTTGACAATAAAAAGACAGTACCAAGTGTTGGTGAGGATGTGGAGAAACTGGAACTCTCTTGCGTTGCTTATACAAAGTAAAATGGAACAACCACTTGGAGAACAGTTAAGCAGTTTCTTTAAAAGTTAATCATAAACTCACTATATGATCCAGCAACTCTATTCCTAGGAATCTATCCAAGAGAAAAATGTATGTCCACACAAAGATATGTGCAAAAATATTCATAGCAGCAGCATTCATAATAGCCCAAACTGGAAACAATCCAAACGTCAATCAACTGGTGAATGGATAAACAAAATGTGGTATAGCCATATAATGGAATACCATTCAGCAATTAAAAGGAATGAACCTAAAAAATAATATGCTAAGTGACAGAAGCCAGATGCAAATGATGTATTGTACCATCTCCTTTAGATGGAATGTCTAGAAAAGGCAAAATTACAGACACACGAGATCAGTGGCTGCCCAGGGCTGGGGGTGGAAGTGGGGAGTAACTACAATTAGAACGTTCTGGGTGATGGAAATGTCCTAGAATTGGATTGTGATGATGCTTGCACACCTGTATACATTTACTAAAATCACTGAATTGTACAATGACAGAGTGAGTTTTATGGTATTTATACCTCAATAAAGCTGTTGAAATTGTGTTTTTATATACTAGCGACAAACTATCAGTAAAAACTGAAAATGTTTACATTTTTAAAAATACCGTTTATGACAGCATGAAAAAATATGAAATATTTCAGGATAAATCTGACAAAATATGCCGATATGCAAAATATGCAAAATATGGATACCGACAACTACTCAAAAAAGCATTTTTGAAAAAAATTAAGACTCAAATAAAGGGAGAGACAGTCGGTGCCACAGACCTGGAGAATCAATGCTTGTGAGCTGCTGGGCCTCTCCAGACTGATGGACAGAGCCCACGCAGTCCTGATCAGAAGCCCTGACGGCGTGTCCGTGGAAACGGACAAGCTGATTCTAAAATTCGTATAGAAATGCAAAGAATCTAGAATAGCCAAAATGCTTTAGAAGAAGAAAAGCTGCAGGGCTGGCACTACCTATCCAGTCTGATACGGCTCGAGAAGGATGCCTTTGTGGTCTCATGTTCCTCCGTTAAGCATCTAAGTGTATCACCTCCGGCAGTCTCACTCAGAAATGTATCCAGTCAGAAGGCTGGACAACCGGGCACAGACATGTTCAAGAAGGTCCCCTGCAGCAGTGTCTCTGAAAGCAACCCCCACCCAGCCCAAGAACGGAAGTGTGTTAGATCATGCTACGTCGTGGAGTGGAACACAACACTGCGGTGAACATCTCCAGGCCAGGGGGTCAGAGGGTTGGCAGGGGCTGGCAAACCGTGCCTGTTTATGCAGATGAAGTGTTACTGGAACACCACAGCCGTTTGCTTTCGTGCTGCAAAGACAGAGTTGGGTAGTTGTGACTGATTACATGGCCTGCAAGCCCAAGATATTCACTGTCTGGCACTTAAGGAAAAGTTTGCCAGTTCCTGATGTAGATTGTGTACATTAACATGAGAACATGTTCAAGCAATATCGTTAGGTGAGAAAAAGCTCCAGGTGAAAATACTAGGCGTGAACCAACGCCTCTCACGCTGTGTCACCCAGCTCTGCCTTGTGCTGGAGCTGGCAGCACTGTCCCCCGATGGGGACCCAGGGCCTCGCCTCAGTGGGGCCAGCCGTGTCCAGTGCCAGCTGGTCCACGCTTTTCCCTCCCTTCTCTGGACTCCAGGCTTCCTGCTGGTGCCGTGAAGCAGAGTCCTGAAGATTTCTGCCCCGAGGTTGTCTGCCTCAAGTGTGAGAAGGGCTCTGCGCCCTCTGCCCCACGCAGGTGCGAGGGTCCCCTACCTGCCTGCCGTGAAGCAGGTCCCGTTGGCAGCGCCGATGGTTGAAAAGGCCACGAAGAGCGGGACAACCCAGGAGGCTGGATAGAGAACGCGGTCACCAAACGTCTGGCGAGAGACGGGAGAGGAGTCCCGAGGGGCTTGCATGGCCGCCAAGAGCCCTGCGCCCCAGGAAGGCTGCTGTGCCCCCTAGAGGGCCCGGCCCCACCCCTGAGGTGGGCACAGCCTCTGCCCCCTCCTGGGGAGGAAAGTTGAGGACCACCCAGGAGGAGAACAAGGGGGCCTCTTTCCTCCTTTGCAGAGCATCTTGGCATCCTGTGATGGGCACAGAAACCTCTCCGCCCCCTCTCCGTCATGATTCTTCCTCATTTCAGTGTCCCTTCCTGACCTCCTCAAGCAGAATGACCTTGTTCTCCCTGCCACCTCAGCGCCTCTTCTCACGGTCAGTGACCTCATCCTGACCGAGGCTGCATCTCTCCTTGCGCCCCGTCCTTGTCACCTTATGGTCTGTTCCTGGTCCATTTCCTGTCCTACCCCCACTCCATGAGGCCTCCAGCAGGTGGACCCCACCTGGCTTCTCCACAGTCCCCACAGCCATCCCTCTCGTCCTCACTGCCTCCCTACCCCGCCTACACTCCGCAGTCCATTGTCATCACTCCCTCCTTCACTTGCTGCCTTGCACTTTCTCTCCCTCATACTTGTCTGTCACAACCCAGCCCTGGTTAGGTCCGGCACTGCTCTAGCTATATTCTGCGCCTGTGCTGGGGCCATGGGCGTGCTGGGAAGGCAGAACCGTCCCCGCTGGCGGTTAACCTCAGATCTTTAAACCTAGGTCTTTGGTGCTGCCTTAACCCCCTCACTCCCCATCTCTAGATGATTCCTCCCTCCTCCCCTGTGAGGGTGCCTCAGCTTGAGCATTTACACCCTGCCTGTCCCCTTCCTACGGGCCAGAGCACCCTCCCGCAGAGACCCTGGCCACTCACCACGGCCACGGCCTGGGACTGCAGGAGCTCGGTCGCGGTCATCACAGTGAAGTAGGAAACGTTCATGAGGATGTAGCACCCTGTGACCAGCGGGATCCCGATGATGATGGCCAGGGGCAGGTTTCTGGGAGGGGCAGGGACCCGGGGGCCCAGGGTCAGACCAGAGCATCCATGAGAGACCCATGAAATTGTTGTTTTGTCCAGTCCTGTCTCCCCACCTGCCCTGGCCAGCCCTCACCTGCTCCTTGTGGTGGGCTGGGGTCACAGCTGCCCTTCCTGAGGCCCACCCAGACGCAGGGGGCTTGTGGAACAGCAGAGCCCCAGCAGGGCCATGTGACATTTTCAAATGAGAAAGACCCTCCCTCTCTAGGACTTCAGGGCAGTAAAACTGAATTGTTTATAAAGCAAAATAAGCCAGAATGCAGTTAGAGTTCTCCCCTGCTCTCAGCAACCCCTCCACTACCCAAAAGAAACTCTAAAGAACGTGAGTGAGCTTAGAAGAAACCCTGCGCTGTCTGGAAGGGCTCCTGGGCTAACAGGAGGAAGCAGTTCCGCTGTAGCTTAGGAGGAGAGATGAACGCTTGCCTGCCCCTCGTCTCCTGGCCTGACTCAGCTTTCTCACCTGAAAGGGTTTCTAAGTTCTTCTGTGATATAATTGAGCTGATTCCTAGACAAAGAAAAGTAACACGAGTTACAAAACTTTGACTTTCTTTGCTAAGATTGTGAAACACAAAATAATAATTGTTGGTGCCATTTAAGATTCTCCGCCGTAGAGAAAATTCTCCTGCAGGAATTCCAGGGTAATTCCTTTTGGAGAAAGCCCTGGGGATGGCGGCGCTACCAAGGTCTGCACATCTGTTGGGTGAGTCTTTGCTCTTCAAGGGAATCATGTGAATTGTCAACAATTATCGGGAGTAATGAGATCCCAAGGTGCTTTGAAGAAAAGGGAAGATTCTTGATCTGAAAAGAGAATGCAACCTGCGGATGCTTTGCATGTGGGAAAGCCCAGCGTCACGGGTGGCCACACTTCTTCTGTAACGGATGTAACAGAATTTCCTTGACTGAACCCAGTGTTTCCAAGGTTGAAACAGAAGTGCTATGAATATTCTTGCCTTGTCAGGTGCCTGGGCAGCCCTTAATACCTCCAACTCAGCAGAGCCTGTGTGTGTCTGGTGAAGCCGCTGGCACAGGGCTGTGCCCTGCCTGCTCACGGACCACTTTGTCAAGGCTGGTGCCACGTGAGGGGCTGGGAAAGGCACAGGGGTCTCAGTGTCTCTGGGGTCCGAGGAGAACAGGAGGGTGAGGGGTGGGGTGCTTAACAAAAGGGAGACGTGACAGTGAATCTTAGGGTCCTGCCAAACCCCAGCAAGGAGAAGCTGTGGCTTTCCATGGGGTTTCCATTACGGTAGTCTAGAGGACCCCACGACCAGACTTGTGACGTGTGAGGAGTGCCTTACCATCCGTCATATGCCCAGAGGCCATTGTAAAATGCCAGACTGATGGCTCCCACGGACAGTCTTGTGCCCTCAAAAGAATTTTCAAAATTCCTTGTATTCCCTGTAATTAAGCCAGACAGTGCATAGCGGGTGTCAGCTGGGCAGAGTGGGACTTTGCATCATCCCTGTGTGAAAGACAGGGATGACTTACGACCTCAGGTTACTAAACAAACTCTGAAAAGTTGGGAAACTAAAGACTTCCTGTTGAATTCCTGCCTTTGAGATATGCTTAGGAGCAAGCTCACCAGAGGAAGAGGAGGTCTGTGCCGTGTGTGGCCCACCCTCCCCTCCAGCCCCAGGTCACCTTGGGCCAGGAGGACAAGTCCACTGATGATGATGATGGCCACGATCACCAGCTTGGCCGCTGTGAACACGTTCTGGACGTAGCTGCCCAGCCGCACGCTCAGCGAGTTCACCGTGGTGATAAGCACTGGGAAGAGTCGGGGGGTGGGGGGGGGCAACATTCTGTGTCGATGGGCTCAACAGCTCCCTCCTTTCTTAAGGCCCTGGAAAGAGTCTCCTTTCTATTGCCAGGCCCACCCCAGCCTCCTCTCTCTGGCACCACATTCATCAAATACACCTGATGAGGACCTTGAAATCCAGCTGGGGCTGCCACCCTCCGAGGGCAATGGAGAAGCAGCCAGGCCCCAGCCAAGCGCCACCCTGCAGGACAGCCTGCGGCCACCCCTCCCTGACAGCTCCAACGGCCCGCAGAGCAGGGACACCAAAGGGTGACAGGTTTTGGGCCAAAGCCAGACCCTGCCCTGCTTCTCGCCAGTGCCTCCAGGCCCACTCGGCCTCTTTCTGGACGTGGAGGAGCCGAGGCCAGAGTCCCCCACATCATCTGTGCCAGGACTTTTTTCTGACCCCTGCCCGGGGTGTCAGACTTGGGTACTCACGGATGACAGCGGCAGCCAGGAATTTCACCACAACCTGAGGAGGCTCGCAGCCCGAGTAGAAGGGCGCAGCAACATACTCAGAAAAGCTGAGACAGATGATGGCAAAGGACGAGGGCTTTATGACGAACAGGCTGGTCCAGGAGAAGAGATAGGCGGGAATGGGCCCAAAGGCCTCCATCAGGTAAGGGTACTCGCCCCCGGACTTCGTGATCATCGTACCAAGCTCTGCAAAGCACAGGGCACCTGGAACACGGAGAGGACGGCGTTCCCTGGGCCCCTGGGGAGGTGTGGCCCTGGTCAGAGGGAGCCCTCCTCCCCTCGGGGGCCGTGCTCACAGGGCCCCCCCACTGTGCCCTCTCATTGGACTGCCCTGAGTCCTGGCCATTGGACATGTGGCCATGTCAGTGCAGCCATTTACACCTGTTTGCACACCAGCATTGAAAGGGACCCCAGCAGCAGCAAGGCCAGGACACGCACAGTGCTCGCATTGCCTGTCCCCACATTCAAAAAGGAGCGTTCATTGGGGAGTGGCATCTTTGTTACCCAGTGTTGCAAGAATCCCACAAGCCGCCCATATGATGAGACAGGGCCCCACGGCTTCCGTGTTCCTGAGCACAGACTTGGGGGAAATGAAGATCCCAGAGCCGATGATGGTGCCCACGATGATGCAGATGCCGCTGAGCAGGCCCACCTGGGACGGGAAGGAAGGCAGCGGAGAGTCAGTGCTGCCACCTGGCCCCAGCTCAGGCAGTCTGACCAGCCCTGTCCCTCCGGTGTGGCCGGCACAGCCCCAAACAGGCCTGGGTCCCAGGGGCTTTCACCCCGTGCCGTTGCAGGGGCGACATCGGGGCCCTTTTCCCTGGGCTTTGCTTGTAGTAAATCAAGTCATCCTCGCAACGGCCTCATGAGTTAGGTAAACCATTATCATGCCCATTTTTCAGAGGAGACAATGGAGGCGCAGAAAGGTTACCTTCCTGCCCAGGGTTACACAGCCAGTGTGGTAGACCTGGCTCAGGTCCGATGCACCAGCCACTACCTTTACATCCTTAACAGAGGAGCCCAGGGATGGAGCTGATTTAGCAAAGGTGCCCAACAGGAAAGGCCCTCAGGACTCGCCTCCTGGCTGGGCAGAGCAGAAGGGGGCTCCTCCCCAAAGCTAAGAGTGAAGACAGGGTTGGGGGCCCAGCCAGGGGCGTCAGGGGCTGCAAGTGGGGAGTGGTGGACACCAGAGGCCCCCAGGGACAGGAACACTCGGGGGCTGTGAACTTGCCCGCAAGCCCTTTGTAAGGTGTGATCTGCCCGCCAATGAGACCGGCTCAGACACCACCGTGTGGTTCCATTCCCATGAAGTTCAAGAACTGGCAAAACCAATCCACAGGGAGAGAGACCCAGGGTTGAGGGGCCCACCTGGAAAAGGGCAAGAGGGAAGCTTCCGGGTGATCACTTTGTCAAAACTCATCAAACTGATCACTAAAGATCTGTACATTTCACCGCATGTAAGTTAGACATGAATCAAGGGGGGAAAAACTTTTTAAAAGGAAGAAAATGCCTGATTCAGGCCCCTACTTGTAATGTCAGCCCTCGGAAGCCACGGGCCTGATTTCTGGAGCCCGAGGTGAACGGGCCAGCACTCGCCTGTCTGGGCAGAGGCTGCGGTCAGGGCTGGAGCCCAGGGAACAAGGAAGACCCCAGCTGCGGGCTCGAAGGGACACACGCCTGGGGGCGGGGTCCTGGGGGCAGTGTCAGCGTCCACCGGCCTCAAGGAGGGTGGGCCCCTGGGCGGTCTCAGCTTTCCTCCTCTGTGGCCCTGGCTGGCTCACCCACCTCAGAGCCTCCAGAATCCTCCTCCTGCTGACATCTGCATTCACCCGAAGCTGCCTGAGCGGGGCTAGCTCAGCTGTGCCCCTTTCACGGCTGGAAGGGAGGGTGTTGCTGCCCATGAGCTGACTCCTGGGGACCGGAGATCCCAGGCCAACACACAGTCAAGCTGATTTGGGCTTGGCAAGCCGAAAAGTCGAAAGAAAGATTTCTTGGACTCTCAAGGTCTGGCAGTAGTGCACTTTTATTTAGAGAATAGTGTGGAGTAGCATGGGGACAGGACCCATGGGCAGTCAGAGCTGCTGTGTGGGGACAGGACCCACGGGCAGGAGGAGCTGCCAACATGGGTTGAGGGTAGGGTTAAATTTAAGGCATAGGTATGTGAGTTATCTCTTTACAAGGCAAAGGAAAGAATATGTAAAAAGAGTTGTTAAAATGGTATCAGTGCCAGTGGGGTCTGGTTATTGGGTGGTCTTATAACTTTTAGATAAGAATCAAACCGGATTAAGCAAATGGCAGAAGCCACCACCTTAAATATTATCTTCAGCTAAAGACAAAGGAGGATGTTGGTGGTGGGGGGATCAGTTACATGAGGTTACCAGACAGTAAACAAGAACAAGATTATTATGCAGACTTAAGTCCTTGCCTTCCCCAGTAAGAGTTTCTAGAGATAAGGTCATCCCCCCTTCCTCCTGGTGCAGAGAGGGAGACACCCCCACAGATGGGGACTTCCTTCACAAATGCAACTGTCTTTCATCAAAGGGCAAGCAAATTCTACTCCTCAGAGCCTCCTTCTCGTCTGCAGTTTTTAAAAGTAACCAGCCCAAAATAATCCTCATCAAAGCCACGCCATCCCCCTTGTCACCCCCCAAATCCCTCCTCCATCTCCTCTGCCGCCAGGCCTGGAGCTCCCGGAGGCTCTGCCCAGCGCTCCACCCACTGTCCTGCCCTCCTGCTTGTGCTGGGGCCCTCACTCATCTTAGGACCCCGAAGCCCATCCCTCCATGCCCACCCGCTGCTGTGGTCCACCTGGGCCTGGCGCTGCACAATGTGGAGCCTCGAGCACCTTTCTGCCTCCACTGCCCTGCCCCGCAAAGCTCCCCCTCCCAGCAGAGCCAGCCTGTCTGGCTCTGGCCCCTCTAGGCCACGGCACCCCCAAGTGCAGCCCTTACGCATTCCAGCTCAGAGGGGTCCCCTATGTCACACGCATGTGAGACTCACCACCCAGCTAGACTCGCTGAGACGCAGTGGGAGCATCCCATCACTGGGGGTATTCGAACAGAAGAGGAACAGATACTTCATGAAGATGGTACAGAGGGGACTCAACCATCAGAAGGTCCTCTCTGACCATCCCTGAAGAGGCCTGAGCTGCCACTGGCCCTCCGGACGCCTGCCCGGCACACAGAAGCACATATGTATTAACTTCACGAGAAAATGTGGAGTTCACTGGCGAGAGGGAAGGAGGTGAGGCCAAGGAATCTTTCATGTAGAAACAGACTGACAAATCAGACTGCCGGGTCCTCTCCCACCGCTGCTGATTAACATGAACACAGCCCTGCTTGACGGGGCGGGCCTGCCGGGCGCCTTACCTCCTTCTGGAGACTTGTGGTCTTGGGTTCGTTACTCTGGATCGACTTCTCGTCCTCTCTCCTTTTTCTCAGGCTGGGCTCCTCCATTTTCTGCTCCTGCCGGTTCTAGGAGGCCACGGGCCTTGGTTCCGCAAACGCTCTGGCAGACAAGACGCGATTGGAGCTCAGCGCGGGCTCTTCCCGTTAACGCATCTGTGACGTGGAGCCGACGCCCAGAGCAGATTATTAGCTACTGTTGCAGGAACTGCCCTTGTCAATCCCTTAGGGATAACCTGCTCGACCCCAGGAACGACAATTCATCGTGACTGCTGTTCAGGCCTCTGACGGACAAGGAGCCTCTGCGCTCGGTTCCAGACCTCCCCGTCAGATCCCAGGCTCCAGGCTCACCGCCTGCGCTGTCTCCCAATCCTCAGCAAAGACATGCTTGGAAGTCATTCTGCCTCCACAGTCCACAGAGGAAGGAATGTTTTTCTTGTAATTACTTCCCAAGATTAAGGCACCTTGTGCGTAAGAGCCCCACAGTATACATGTTTTCCCTTTGAGTGATGCAAGGAATGAAAAGAGCTGCTGAGGAAAATAAGCTCCAGTCTGAACTAGTGGATGGTCATTTCCTGTCCACTTTCTCTAAACAAAGTCCCCCTCCAGGCCCCGGCCAGGTGAGGGGCGACCTTCCCCTCATCCTTACCTTCTGCCCGACACTGCAGAGGCAGGGAGCTGCCGGCTGGCTGACCGTCTGCGTCTGCCTGGTCGTGCCCTGGGAATGGCCATGTCTTGTGCCCAGGAGCAGAGGAAGCCAGAAGGTACAGAGGTCAAGAAAGGTAATTATTAAACACCTTTTCTTATTTTTAGCGATGAAGCTTGGATATATCGCACAAAAAGGGGAGGGTCGGGCAAGCCAGTTTCTCTCCAAAAATGTTTTTCGTTTTGTTCATTTGTGTCTAGGTCAATTCGTATTCCTTAGCCACATTCCCCCAAAACAGCTGCATCATGGAAGGAGAAATCTCCCTAAGGACTGGAACCAGAGGAGATAAACTTTGGAACTAACTCCTTTATTACCTTAATAGGCTCTATTTACAGCTCCAGTCAGCCAGCACCAACAGTCACGCCACACAGGTAAGTCCCCAGATGTTTTCCTCCCACTGTGGAATTTTCTCCCAGAGTCCTCCATCTGCCTTCCACCTAGCGCTGACCAGGCGGGCAGGACCGTGAGCAAGTCTTTCGCACTCACCTTTGGGGGTGACTGGGTTTCGGCACCACCTGGAACCACAGGAGAGTTTGGGAAATTGGGACGGGCAGTGAAGCCTCCCACAGGTCCTGCCCATCTGTGCGTGTGGCTGGGGCCGTGCGCCCCTGGGGTCTGGGGGCGCTGATGCACAGCAGGCCAGGCTCACGTTCACTCAACTGCGGGGTGGGAAGGGGGCGCAAATGGTCATCAGTTCCACACTCTAATGTCCCTGATGGGGAAACTGAGGCCCCAGAGAGAATGAAGTACGTCGAGGCCACAGAGCTCTGGCCTTCTCCAAGAGGAAGCAGAGGGGCTTCAGTTGCCCACACAGGGGCTGGGACAGACCCTCCCCCCACCCCCAAACACAAAGGCTGGCTCCAGAGGCAGCTCTAATCCTTCATCTCAGATAAGGCCTTCCTCTGGGATGGAAGAGCCCAGCCCGAAGCATTGTTGCTCTTATCACAGCCATCTCTGCTGGCTCAATAGCATCCCAGGGATCCAGAGACCAAAGGTCACAGGACAGAGCTGGGTGGGTTCCCGGTGGTCACTTAGGGAGCACTTTGGGGCAGGCCGACCTGAGAGCGGGGCGATTTCTCTGGGTGGTCTCTTAAAGCCATCGGGAGGGTGTGGGGACCCTTGCCATCCAGTCAAAGTCCTGATGTAGAAGTGTGTTGGCTGCCCCCTTAGTGGGGCCAGGCCTGCTCATCAGGGCACCTGCCCCACTGCCCGCCACGCCCAGAGCCCCAAGCAGAGTGTTCATCATCCAGAGCATGGAGGCCAAAGGGCCTGCAGCCCTAGCCAGCCGCTGCCCGCAGGCTTGTTTGAGTTGCTCCTAAAAGTGTTCGCTAACACTGCAGCAGGAACGTGACATTGGGCCCATCCATATTTACAAGGCTCCAGAGTACTCCCTGGATCTGGAGGCAACTCAAGGTTGCCCCCAGAGGGCGAATATTCTAACAGAAACTGTAAAGGGGTAGGGTGTGGTGGTGGGTGGGAGGGCTGCCACCAGCCATGTGGCCTTGGGGTCACTTGTTCTCTCTGCAAGCATCACCTTCTGAATCTGTAAGAGGGGCTCCTACTGGCCCCCCTGGACCCGGGGGATTGCAGAAGCCTCTGCGGTAAACTCGGCCGTCTGCTGATGCAGAGGATCTGGTCTTCTCGGGCTGCCACCAAGTGCGGACTTTGGAAGGTCCGGGCGTGGGGATCCTTAGCTGAGGGTCAGAAGTCTGCCTCAGTGAATCGTTGGTCCATGGTGAGCATTTCTTTTCATAAAGCTGTTGCTGCTGCCTTTTTGCTTTTCCCCAGCAGAGTGAGTTTTCAACCAATTATCTTAAGGTTTGTTTTTTTTTTTCCTCAGGGAAAATTATCTGGATTTGTTTAAAAAACACGATTTGGTCTGCCAATTATTCTTTAGGAAGAATGAAATAAGAATGTGTCTCGTGGTGCATCCGGCTCTTCGACCACGGGGCTGACGTTTTACCTCGTGCAGTCGATTCCCTCCTACAGTCATTTCCTAAGAAGTTTCATGGTATTTTTTCCATCCAACTCCATTATTTCGTAAGTTTCTGCTAAAGCTCTTCACTTCACTTTCAAACTGTGCTTTCTCCAATTGCCAAGATGCTTGCAGTTTGAACATAGCCACCTCTGCATTTTATTTCATCGTCTTATATTTGGTGCATGTGTGCCTCCGTTCTCCTGGGATGTTTTCGAAAGATGTGTGGAGCCCGGCGGTGAATCCATTTCTCCCCAGCACCTTGGTTTCTTGTCTTCTGATCCACCTACCACCACAGCAGAGGCAGAGTCAGACATCTGGACAGATGCTGGATCTCCCTTTACCACTTAACGTTTGTTCCAGACCTGCCTTCAAGTTTTCAAACTTTCTTCTGTTCTCCCTAAGTTCGCTCGGTCCTATTCCTTCCCGCTGCCGCCAACTGTAGTGCAGAGCTTTGGGGGGACCCAGAAGCCTGTAGAACAGGTGTTTACTTACCTACCTGAATTCCAACCAGAAGAACCCATAAAGAGTCAGTGGAATGTGCAAAGTCTTCAGATGTCATGGACTTACAGTCAAACCATAAAACCATTAGCAAGGAAAGCACCATTTAAATACTTATCTGGGAAACAATCTACTTCTATATATATCCAAGAACTGCTGGGATAGTGCAATTCTACCTTAGGACTTTGTCCATCATCTTTTTTTCTGGAGATATAACAGACATATAACATTAGTTCCAGGTGTACAACGTAATGATTCAATATTTGTATATATTGCTAATGATTACTACAAGAAGTCTACTTAACATCCATCACCACTCATAGTTTCAAAATTTTCTTTTCTTGTGATGAGAACTTTTAAGATTTACTCTTAGCAACTTTCAAATTTGCAATATGGTATTATTACTGGAAGTTTCTAACTTTGATCACCTTCATGACTTTGTCCAACACCCCCAGCCTCTGGCAACCGCCAATCTATTCTCTGTATCTACGAGTTCAGTATGTTTGTTTTTTAAATTTTTTTAGATTCCAGATATATGTGAGATTGTACAGTATTTATCTTTCTCTGTCTGACTTATTTCACTTAGTGTAATGCCCTCAAGGTCCGTCCATGTTGTCACAAAAGGCAAATTTCCTTCTTTTTTATGGCTCATGTTCCATTGTGTATATATATACACACCACATCTTCTTTATCCACGCATCCATAGATGAACACAAGTTGTTTCTTGTGAATCTTGACTATTGTGAATAATGCTGAAGTGAACATGGGGTGCACACACCTTTTCAAGTTAGTTTTCTTTTTCTTCAGGTAAATACCCAGAGGTGGAACAGCTGGATCATACGGTGGTTCTATTTGTAGTTTTTTGAGGAAGCTCCATACTGTTTCCCATAGTGACTGCACCAATTTACTTTCCCACCAACAGTGCACAAGGGTTCCCCTCCCTCCGCATCTTCGCCAACACTTATTATTGCTTGTCTTTTTGGTAAGAGCTATGCTAACAGGTTTGAGGTGGTATCTCGCTGTGGTTTTGATTTGCATTTCCCTGATGATTAGTGATGCTGAGCACCTTTTCACGTGCCTATTGGCCATCTGGTTGTCTTCTTTGGAAAAATGTCTGTTCAGATTCTCTGCCCATTATTTTTTTTTTAAGATTGTCACCTGAGTTAACAACTGGTGCCAATTTTTTTTTTCCCTGCTTTTTTCTCCCCAAATCCCCCCAGTACATAGTTGTATATTTTAGTTGTGGGTCCTTCTAGTTGTGGCATGTGGGACGCCACCTCAACATGGCCTGGTGAGTGGTGGCATGTCCGTGCCCAGGATCCGAACCCTGAGCCACTGAAGGGGAGCGTGCGAACTTAACCACTCGGCCACAGGGCCGGCCCTCTGCCCATTTTTTAATTAGATTGTTTGTTCTTTTGCTATTGAGTTGTATGAGTTCTTTATATATTTTGGAAATTAACCGCTTATCAGATATGTGATTTGCAAATATCTTCTCCCAGTTGGTAGGTTGCCTTTGCATCTGTTGGTGGTTTCCTTTACTGTGCTGAAGCTTTCTAGTTTGACGTCCCACTTGTTTGTTTTTGCTTTTGTTGCCTTTGCTTTTGGTGTGTTCGCCATTTTTATGTGTTCCAAGTAACATGATTTTTCATGGATAACCTCCTTGGGGAAACCAGTACTCTATTTCAGAGTTTCATCTATTTTTTCTAAAATGTGACTCCCTGCCCTGCTCCCTAACCCCACACCTTGTCACCATTGCCCCTTTCAGCCTGTGTTCACGAGTGGTGGAAGGGTGGGTAGTTGGCAGGGTCAGGGAAAGAGGGTTCCAGTAATCACAGGTCTCTAATGCTCTTTAATAAAGAGTGACTATTTTTGGTAATCTTTTTTCTATCTGCCCAGCATCCACCTCTGAGGGGAACTGGCCCTCCTGTGAGATTCTGGTGGGCCATCAACCAAAGAACCCCACTGCCTCCAGCCTCAGGGGAGGGCTCGTGACCCCAGCTCAGCCAAGAGGACACCCTTCGCCGGGAGTTTGTGTCCTGCCTGGAGAAGTTTGGGGAAGGTCGACAGTGTCCCACCACTGAACCCCAGGCCTGTCCTGGTTTCCGTCCTTCTCAAAACATGTTGTGAGGCAGCCAGAGTACATTCCAAAATAGTTCCCTCTTTACCTTAACATTAGGCAGTTTCTGTTGCTTGTAACCCAACCTCGGTTTGCTATGTAGACTACACACGGATCCTTCACTTTCAAAGAATTATTTTTTAATTAAAAAATATCCAGGACCCTGCTGAACAGAGTGAAATGTTGATGATGCTCCAGGGAACAGATGCCCCTGGTGACCTCAAGGGGGCAAGTGCTGGCACCTCAGTGGCAGGAGTTAGTTGAAAAGAGGGGTGGCCACCTGCGCTCCTGCTCTCCTCGTACACCGTCCTTAACAAGCGTTTTCACGCGGGGAGACCGAACACACGGGGATGGTGAGCAAGGGAGACAGAGCACCCGGCATGGAGACGGGGAGCCAGCCTCTGAGCCCTCAGTGGCAGGGCTCTTCACCCTTTCAAGGAGGCTGCCTCGTGGATTCCTCTGATTTGAAATCCACTTTGTCAGCCCAGCTGGGGTCCTCACCAACTACCTCGGTCCTGCTGTTTGGAGACACTGCGCCAGTCAAAGCAGCCCAGCGGGGCCCTGCAAGCATATATAAGCTAGAAGGAAACCCTCCATCCCCCCAACCAACCTCACCGCCCCCACCCACCCCACCCCTGTCAAAAATGAGGAGACGTCAAGCCTGGGAGGACTGGGAAGGGCAGAAAGTTGCCCATCCAGACCGGGACCCCCCACCCATGGGACTCACTGACCCCAGGACACCCGATAAGGCACAGACCAGCCATGTCCCCTCTGCCCTCCCAATTGCCAGCTACTCTAACTGCTGACATCAGCTCAGCTCAGAGCAGAGGGCTGCCAAGGACCTGGCCACACTGAGCACTAACACCCTCCCCCCTGCCCCGACTCCTCCCGCTGCAGCCTCCCAGCCTGCCCTGTGGTGTTTTGGTTGGATGACGTTTCTGATCTTTAAAGAGGATTCAGATCTCAGCTCAGCACCCAGGAGGCTCCAGCATCCCAGCCTGGGGAGGGCACTCCGAGCCCACGCTGACGGCTGCCGCCTTCCACTCCTGCAGACAGAGCCTGGGATGAGGGACCCAGGCCCAGCCGGCTGAGCACCAGGCCAAGTGCCGGCAACTCTTCCTTAAATCTCCTTCTCTGGCCACTCTTTACTGACCACACTGAGCGCTAGGGAGGGTGTGGAGCGAGCAGAACTCTCACACGGTGCCTGCCGGTGGGAATGCAAAATGGTGCAAACATCTAGGAAATAGGCCTGGCGATTTCTTTTTTAATTGAGGCAAAATATATACAACATAAAAGTACCATTTTAGCCATTTTTAAGTGCTCAGTTCAGTGGCATTAGGCACATTCACGTTGCTGTGCAACCATCACCAGCATCCATCTCCAGAATTTTGTCACCTTTCCAAACTGAAACTCTGTCCCCCAGCCGCTCCTTCCCCAGACCCTGGCAGCGTCATTCTGCTGTCTCTGTGAATCTAGGGACCTCGTATGAGGGGAACCGTACAGTATTTGTCCCTCTGTGCTGGCGGCTTCTCTCACAAACATACATGGACTCCATGACGCAGCAAACCAGCCCTAGGGGTTCACCCAAAAGATCTGAAAACATCCGTCCCCATAAAAATCTGTGTACACGTGTTCACAGCAGCTTGATTCATAACGGTCTCACATTGGAAACAACCTAAATGTCCGTCAATGGGAAAATTGCTAAACGAATTGCATATTCATAAACGGAATCCCATTCAGTGATAAAAAGGAATGAAGTCTGCTGACAGGTGCCTCAGCCTGGATGCATCTCAAAACCACGACGTCAGGCCATGGAGCTGGACACGCAGAGTCAGCCTGCATGCTTCCACCCGTATGAGGTTCTACGACAAGCAGGACTAAGCTATGGGGATAGAAGTCAGAACTGGAGGAGCGCCCTCTGAGTGGACAGAGCACCGTGGACTTGTGTTGGGGAGGGACAGGTGTGGAGACAAAGTGCCTCGTCCTCCAGGGCACGTGCTGGCGAGTGGAGTCTGGGCTAGATTTTAGCCCCACTCACCCCTTGCCTGGGTGCCTTTGTGCAGTGCACAACCTCACGGGGTGGCCCTGCAGTCTGTCCTGTTTAGTGAATGGTCCATTCTGTCATGAGCTGCTTATACATTTATTGCCCTTTCTGTGTCTGTATAACAGCTTCTTTCATTGATTAAGTCACTGATGCGTGCCACAGTGGCGGGAGGAAGGCCACTGGTTTGAGGGCCAGTGGTCCCAGGACTGAAGCTCACCAGGGCTGTGGGGGGAACTGTGGACGTGTGAGTCACGGGCAGATCCATGCAGGGGGAGCGTGGACAAGAAGAGATGGGGCTAAGGACCCAGCATTTAAGGAACGAGTGGAGCCAGGAGAGCGCAGCACCGCTGGGCCCACAGCCACAGTGGCCTCGCTGAGCTGCAGGCAGCTGGGGCCTAGTCAGCAGTGGAGTGAAAGCTTCAGAGATGGCAGGGCAGCAGCCAGGCTGGGGCCGAGCAGAGCGCCAGGGGCTGGGCTCTCCGCAGAGACCCGAGACGGTGGGGTCCAGGAGAAGTTTCTCCTTCAGAGGGACACACCTGAGGAGTCTGCACTGCTGATGGGAAAGCCTGCGTCGGGATGGAGGTTGCCCAGAGGGAGCTGGACTTCAGGTCGGGGAGTATCTAGGAGTGTGTGAACGCCCTCCCAGATGGAGGGAACCCCACCTGCTGAGCCCAGCAGCTTGAGGAGTCAAGGAGGTGACAGTCAGCCAGTCTGAGGCGACGAGTGGGTCCACCCCGGACAGTTCACAAGCCTTGGGAGCAGGATTTGCTTCAGCTCCTGCCCCCTTCTGCCCATTTCCACTGGTTCCACTTTGAAAACCCTGCCTCTGTCGGGGGGCACCACAGGGCCAGTGCTGAGCAGTCACAGATGCTGGTTGAGGCAGGGGACGAGCCAAAGGCCCGCAAGGGAGATCTGACCTCCCTTCCCTCAGACTCCTCCTCCCCCCTCGCCTCGGGGCCTTTGCACGACTTGCTTCTCCGACACCGCTCCTGC